AATTGTAAAGCTAATAAATTAACACAATTAAAACAATTTCTACTTAATAAAAATAAAAATGTTTAATTTTTAAAAAAACAATTAATTAACAAATTTTAATTGATATGTAATAGAGGAAAAATATTTTTATGCCACTTTCATTAAATCTGGTAAATTATCTGTTTAATTCGGGTGTTTATCATACTCATTTTACAAACACACATACAACTTAAAAGGGAACACTATACCTAGTGAAATTTTAAAAAATATAAAGGACTACCACATGAACCGAATTAGAGTTTTTCTTTAGTCCATCCTGTTATTCATAAATTTATTCTAATTTATTCGATTATCCAATTGAATGAATTTTTAATGTTTTGCCATAGAAAACATTAACAAAAATTGCTTAAATTGTGTTTTTAATTATTAGTCTTTTAAAGTGACCATGATAACAACGAGAGCTTGATACTATGTTGTTGTTATTTGTTTGCATTTAAAAAAAATCTGATGTGATCAACACATAACCCACCGCAATGTATATTGTTTAGATTAGTAAAAGTATTCCAGAAGATTATTAAAATGCGTTTTAAACACTTCTTTACAATTTTAAGAACACTAAAAAGCTTTTAGCTAACGGTCAGCACAAAACCGACCGCAATGTGTATTGTCTAGTTAAGTGAAAGTGTTACAGAATATTATAAAAATGTCTGTTAAATACTTCTTTCCAGAACTCAAATATCAAATTTCAAGAAATTCTATCAATTCGTTCCGTAGATATAGAGAAAAATGTAAAATCGGCACGCAAATCAGTGTTCGAGCCCTGATCGTTCCAAAAAATTTATATGTTCACTGTTTTAATACGAGGAATTCAAATATTAAATTTCAATGAAATCGGTTGATTATTTCTCTTTATAGACATATTCTATTCTCGTAGTAAACGTCCAGTTGCGCACTGTCGAACAAAGCTTATATATGAAATTTCAAGTAAATTGGTCGAATATTTTCTTCAAAATGGTCAAAAATGTAAAACAGGCCCGCTAAAAAGTGTAGTTCCCGAAGCCTGATAAATCCGTGCCATGGTCGAAGTAAACTTACATATAAAATTTCATCAAAATCGGTTCAGCCGAACTTGAGATACATACGTGCACACACAGACCGACAGACCGACAGGTTGCTAAAAATAGTTTACTTAGACTTCCCTACTATGGAGAAGTGCATTCCCACCGAAAATTCGATATACAACATTTGTTGTCATCACATAACCTACTTTTTGTTTACATAATACGGTCGGTAGTAAACCAAATTCATTGTTATATACCATATTTTACATTAAAATGTGTTCTCTTTTTATTATACTCCAAAGCGAGAAGAAATAGAGTTAACCGTGTCAGCTCTGTGATACCCGTACGAATTTGTTATCATATGTGCGAACAAATACGCCATACCTGACTAAGGAACAGACTATGACTTTAAGTAGCCGTATTACCATATTAATTTATGCAAAATTGAAGTTGTAATTGAATTAGAAAATATTGAAAACACAGTACTGAACTGTGTTTTCAATATTTTCTAAGAAATGGCCAAACTACTATTGAAATTATATGACTGCTGCCAGAAGGAACCAAGCAATTTAAACGACTTTAATCAAACACATTAGCCCTATTAATGCACTTGCTTGTGTGAACGTTCAATATCACTGCTTTTATAGCTTCTGAAATATAGTCAAATAAATTTTGAAATTTAATAGCAGTTACCAGAACCAGTACCCCGATCGTATCCAATTTAAATATGGTTCTGGCATTACAAACAAACGTTACAAACGGTAAAGCAAACTTAGAATACCCTTCGAACATACGTTCGTACGGGTATAAATATAATTATGACATTTAGCAGTTTTCTGCTGCAAATCAAAAATAAAACTACTTCTAAATGAAAAAGCGCGTATGAATATAGAATAACTTTTATTTTAATAAGAAAAAGCAAAACTTTTAAATAAATTTTTCAAAATTTAATAAAGGAAATAGTAATTAAATTTACATGGTCAATTAAAATACGAACTATATTACTTAACACTTACATGGCCTTCTAAATCGCTAATTGCTAAGCTAAAGCAAATATTGATAAAGATTTAAAAATGCCTTAAGTGATGTAATTCACCCAACCGTAATATTAATACTCGTACGTACGGTGCAAATGAATTAACAAAACGGAAAATGTAGATAATAACTAATATGCGGGTCAAAAATTATTACATTTTTTAAATTTTATTCTATAGAAAAGAAAATCTCATTTCAGTTTGAACCATTTTTAAAATATTATAGCAGAAATGCAGAAATAATAGGTTAATAAGGTATAACAGCGTTTTTTTAGTACTCTGTTAAACCTTAAACATTTGTAAATTGAACATTAAGGCAAAATTATGCTTTCAACATTCACATACAAATAGACCATGGCCTTCCGTCAAATTTATATAATATTACACCTAATTAAAAATAAAACTATTTCTGCAATAAAACATTTAAAAGAATAAAATAATAAAACACAATATTATATTCATATATTGTATTATGATATATACATATGTATTTATTTTAAATAATTACTTACATCTTTAATTAAACTTTCATTACTACTAATAAGAGTTTTGAGTACCTCAATATCAAATATTGCAGTTATGATTCTTTAACCAATTTCCGGCAAAAATAGAGAGGGTAGAATAGAATTCAATTTGAATTATTGTAATTAATTCTTTTTTATAATATTTAAATAATCACTTGTATTAAAAACAATAACAAAAATTACAATAATAATAAATATAGTTGGGTCAAACCAATGGTTTGTGTTGTAGCGCTTTTCCCTTCAACAAGTTAAAATACTACTTTTAAAAACAATCTATGTAACGTATACCTACTATACTATTAAAATTATTTTAATTTAATTACGAAACTATTTCTGGGATTCCAAATAGGAGGCAATCCTAGCATTAACATAATGCTCGATTTTTAGTGAAACTAATAAGCACATTAGACATAATGCTCGATTTTGAGTGAAACTAATAATCACTTTTTTCCAAAATTTTTTTGAAAAAGAAAAAATAACTTAATTTTTGCATAAAACTTTTTTGATATGACCTTAGTACATAAAGGTAAAATCCTACAATATTATGTAACCTTTTGCTACTCTTCCTTTGGTTATTCAGGAATTGATACACATATATATTAAGTTCAATATGATATATACAGCTATGGTCAAAATAATAGAAACACTTAATATAGGTTTTTAATTTATTTTATATCTTTTGTAAATTATATTCGAATTAAATGCCATCTTTTGCAAAATTATTTTGCTATATTATGTTCTATTGTGAATATATTTATTGTCACTAAAAAACTGTAATCTGCGGGAATTCAACATTTGAAAGTAAAAATACCGTATTTCGTCTGGTCAAAATAATAGAAACACCCGGCGAAGGTAGCTTTATTGATGAATAAAACTAATTCTTTTTAAATTGTTTGAGCAAATATTGAACAAAATTTAAATTTTAATAATCAAATAATTTAATTTTTTGAAAAACTGGAAAAATATTGCAGAATTATGGGTCGATCGAATCATTCTAGTGTTAAGGAAAAATAAATAATTAAAAACTTAAGAAACCAAGGAAAAAGTGTAACAGAAATTATCGAACGTAACAGAAATTATCGAATAAAAGTCCTGAAACACGAGGAAGAAAGCAATAAACAAGTGAAAAACTGACCAGAAAAATTGTAATGATATGTAAAAAAGACCCACTGAAATCTTCAAAAGCAATTTTAAAAGAATGTCAGGTTAATGTGAGTGGTAGAACCATACACAAAATATTGAACAAAAATAATTTATTTGGTCGCGAAGCTCGAAAAGTTTCCAGTCAGTAAAAACAATATTAAACATAGAAAAACTTTTGCTAAAACTCATTCGGAGCGCTGTGGGCCAGAGGGTGTAAAGAAGTGGCGCAATATCCTTTGTTCGTACGAAACAAAAATTAATTTATTTGGGCCAGATGTTCCTACCTTCGTTAGACGTCCACCAAATACTGAATTAAACCCCAGGTTCACGCTCAAAACCGTAAAACGTGGTGGCGGCAATATAATGATTTGGGATTGTTATGAACAAAAATATTAGGTGTTTCTATTATTTTGACCATAGCTGTATATATATAAATATATATATATATATATATATATATATATATATATATATATATATATATATATAGATATATATATATATATATACATAATTTTATTTATCTATCACATTATAATTAATATAATCCTAGAATGGCCCTAGTAACCTAGGGTACAAAGTTGTGTTCGGAAACTTTTTTGTCAATTTATAGAACTCTCCAAAAATATGCTGATGATTTGAGTCAGACTTACCGTTTTCAAGTAATAGTTGCCCAACAACAAAATTTTGAATTGAAAAACTGAAAATTTTTCAAAAAACGCTAATTATCTCAAAAAAGTACGGTAATTTTTTATTTTCTCGTTCCGCTACATCATCCTCTACAAGCTTGCTATAAATAACTTTTATATCACGCGTACCATTTTTTGCGCAAAGAAATAATTTATGTAAGTTCCATGTACTACGTTTCGTTCCTCTTTTTTCACTTCGCTTCGTCCCTTTATATAAGAAATAAAATTTGTGGTTTTGCAGTTATGAAACTTCAGTTTCCATTTTATTAATCCAAATTTTTGCGGGGGAATCTAGCAATCCACTAGCACAAATATGTTTTTTGTTGTTGGTTTTTGCCATTTATTTATTAAATTTTCAACTGTTCACATATGCAAATATGTTTGTTGGTTATATAATTATAATTATATAGTTTGTTATAAATATTTGTATATATACAATATGCTTGTTTTATAATTGTTTCTCTTACAAATTAAACTTTTAGCACATATGCATAAAAAATAATCCATTTTTTAATAATATGTGAAAAAAGCCAACAACTGATTTTTATTTTGTTAATTCATCTTTTACAGAAAATGGACGTCATCTGTCAAAGGAATATATAACCATAAATATTTTTTCATAAAACGTTGTACGATACTACGAAATTTAAAATTTAAAAAAAAAATAAAATAAAAAATGCCGCAACATAAAATACCAGTCATTTTGAAATTGCCAAAATTATGGAAATTATTTCTAACCACCGCGATACTATTACAATCATTAGTCAAATCATATTTATTGATAGTTAGTGAAACGGTGCCACCAGGAACAATAATTTTCAATGCTTCCGTATACAAATTAGGCTCAGAACGCCATTATAAGCTCAATACACACAAATCAGCACATTTTGTACACCACTTAATAGATGTCAATCCAAAGGATGGACAAATACGACTGAAAAAGCATCTACACTGTGATGGGATATTTTATCCAAATTTATTTACGTTTTACATCGATTCCATATCAACTCAGTTGAGAAGTATTGATTACTACAGTTTGCCATTAAGAATATTTGTTTCAGGAAAAGAATGCAATCATGACCATCGAGTTGAAATGTATGGACGTCTTTTTGAAGAAGAAGACACAGGTTATATGAGAAAACGCCGAGAAATCAGTTCAATTTCTTATGAAGATGATAATAGATTCTATGGTGAATACATAGGTAAAGACCATCATTTGTATTGGCATGAATTTCCAAATCTACTAAAAAACCATTTCAATTACACAAGTAAAAGACCATTTAAAGAAGGTGATATTATATTTGGTAGCCCAGAACTAAACGACGTACGTCATGAGATTTTAAGTAGAAAACGACGATCGAAAGGTTTTTTAAAAGACTTCGACAAAAGAGCACACCGCAGAATCGCTGATGCTAAACAATGGATTTCTGAAACCTATGCTTCTTATGCTATACACACAACAGATAAATGGAATCAAATATGTTTGAAGAAATCACAATTTGTAAATAATTTAAATGCCTTTTTGCCTAAAACAATTTGTCAAAATTGTAAAGTTAATTTTTTGGATGTAAACGACGAACGTTTTAAAATTGAAACTCAAAGTAGAGATTTGGTTGCAAGTAAAGATGTTTGTCTGCAAGAACCCATGTGGAAAGTTATTATCACATTTAATATTAGATGCAATAGAAATGACATCGTAGATTCAGACCATCGATTGAAAATTGTATATCATCACCAAGAATTCAACGATACTGATATAGCAAAACGTGTTAAACGAGAGCTTAGAAATCAAAGTCCTTATTTTGAACAAGCACTTTATGTAGCGTCAGTATTAGAAGAGCAACCAGCTGGTGCCATAGTTGCAACTGTACGTGCGAGAGATCCGGAAGATTCTCCAGTGGTGTATTCAATGGTGTCATTATTAGACTCTCGATCACAATCTCTATTTAAAGTTGATTCAAGATCAGGAATTATAACAACATCTGCTAGTCTAGATCGAGAACTGATGGATGTACACTACTTCCGCGTAGTTGCAACCGACGATAGTTTTCCACCAAGATCAGGTACAACAACATTACAAGTTAATGTTTTAGACTGTAATGATCACACGCCAACTTTTGAGGCGGAGCAATTTGAAGCCAGCATACGGGAGAGCGCAACTGTTGGATCCACTGTCATTACCTTAAGAGCTACTGATCAAGATATTGGTAAAAATGCTGAAATTGAATATGGAATTGAAAGTGTAACCGGTGGCGGCTTAACCACCCATGAACAAGATTCCCAGACATTTAGAATAGATGCGCGAACTGGAGTAATAGTAACAAGAAGCAATTTAGATAGAGAAGCTTCAGACGTCTACACAATTTTAGTAACTGCAACTGATATGGCAACTCCGCAAAGTGAAAGAAAATCAGCAACCGCTACTGTAGTAGTTAAAATATTGGATGACAACGACAATTACCCACAATTTTCTGAACGTACATATACTGTTCAAGTAAATGAAGATCAATGGTCTGACAATAAAGTAGTAGCTCATATTCACGCAACAGATGCCGATCAAGGAAATAACGCGGCTATTCGTTATGCGATCATAGGCGGAAATACTCAATCCCAGTTTTCTATTGATTCCATGAACGGAGATGTTACGCTTGTAAAGCCTCTAGATTATGAAAGTGTAAGAAGCTACCGCCTTGTAATTAGAGCGCAAGACGGTGGTAGTCCCTCCCGTAGTAATACAACACAGCTCTTAGTGAATGTTATAGATGCTAACGACAATGCACCCCGTTTTTACACCTCACAATTTCAAGAAGCCGTATTAGAAAGTGTGCCAGTTGGGTATAACATTATTCGAGTTCAAGCATACGATTCAGATGAAGGAGCAAATGCTGAAATTACCTACAGTATTTCGGAAAGAGATGATAGTTTTCCTCTAGCAGTAGATCCACGAACAGGATGGATCCAAACAACTAAGCAACTTGATCGAGAAGAACAATCAAGATATGGTTTCCAAGTTATAGCAGTGGATGGAGGTATTCCACCTAAATCGGCAAGTTCATCTGTTATTATAACTGTGCAAGATGTGAATGATAATGAACCTACTTTTAATCCGAAATATTATGAAACAATGGTTGGGGAGGATCAACCTCCTGGTACACCTGTTACAACTGTTACAGCAACTGATCCTGATGAAGATTCTCGACTGCATTACGAAATAAGCACCGGTAATACACGTGGGAGATTTGCTATTACATCGCAAAATGGAAAGGGTTTAATAACAGTCGCCCAACCTCTTGACTATAAGCAAGAGCGCAGGTTCATTTTAAAAGTAACAGCAACCGATTCTGGTGGTAAATCTGACACTGCAACAGTTAATATTAATGTTACTGATGCCAACAACTTTGCGCCCATTTTCGAAAATGCACCTTACAGTACGTCTGTTTTTGAAGATGCTTCAATAGGAACTACAGTATTAGTGGTTTCAGCAACCGACAGTGATGTGGGAATTAATGCGCAAATAACATATTCATTAAATGATGAAACTGTAAATGGCCTCGGTTCACATGATCCTTTCACCATTAATTCGCAAACAGGTGCTATAGTCACAAGTGCTCTTTTAGATCGAGAAACTATCAGTGGATATTTATTGACTGTAACTGCTAAAGATGGTGGACATCCCTCCTTAAGTGACACAACTGACGTTGAAATCAGTGTAACCGATGTAAATGATAACCCCCCATCATTTAAGGTACCTTTATATCAAGCCTCCATATCTGAAGATGCATTGATTGGTACCCCAGTTGTTCAAATATCTGCAACTGATCCTGATATGGGTCTTAATGGACGAGTAAAGTATTTATTTAGTGAAAAGGACATTGAAGATGGTTCATTCGTAGTAGATCCAACATCTGGAACAATTCGTACCAATAAGAACCTAGATAGAGAAAGTGTTGCAACGTATCACTTAACCGCAATTGCCGTTGACAAAGGCTCGCCACCGTTAAGTAGCACAGTTGAGGTTCAAATAAGGTTAGAGGATGTCAATGATTCACCTCCTACATTTGAATCAGATAAAATAGTGCTTTATGTTCCCGAAAATTCTCCAGTTGGATCTGTTGTCGGTGAAATACATGCTCATGATCCGGACGAAGGAGTTAATGCTATAGTACATTATTCAATCATTGGGGGCGACGATTCAAATTCGTTTTCATTAGTAACTCGACCAGGTTCAGAACGGGCGCAATTATTGACTATGACAGAATTAGATTATGAATCCTCCAGAAAAAAATTCGAACTAGTAATTAGAGCAGCTAGTCCTCCTTTACGAAATGATGTTCATGTTGAAATTATGGTCACTGATGTGAATGATAATGCACCCGTTTTAAAAGATTTCCAAGTAATTTTCAATAATTTTCGAGACCACTTTCCTAGTGGAGAAATAGGAAGAATTCCAGCTTTTGATGCTGATGTCACAGATAAATTAACATATCGAATTTTAAGCGGCAATAACGCAAATTTAATTAAATTAAATACTTCTAGTGGCGGATTGATATTAAGTCCGCAATTGAATACCAATGTGCCAAAATTCGCTGCAATGGAAGTTACAGTAACAGATGGAATAAATGAAGCAAAGGCCGTTATGCAATTAATAGTACGTTTGATAACAGAAGATATGTTGTTTAACTCAGTAACTGTTCGATTAAATGAAATGACGGAAGAAGCGTTTTTGTCCCCGTTATTGAATTTCTTTCTAGACGGGTTGGCAGCTATTATTCCTTGTCCTAAAGAAAACATTTTTATATTTTCAATTCAAGATGACACCGATGTAACAGCTAGAATATTAAATATTAGCTTTTCAGCACGAAGACCGGACATATCACACGAAGAATTTTACACTCCGCAGTATTTACAAGAAAAAGTTTATCTCAATCGCGCCATTCTAGCTAGGTTAGCTACTGTAGAAGTTCTACCATTTGACGATAATTTGTGTGTTCGTGAACCATGCTTGAACTTTGAGCAGTGTCTTACAGTTTTAAAATTCGGAAATGCTTCAGATTTCATTCATAGTGACACGGTACTCTTTCGTCCAATATATCCCGTCAATACATTTGCTTGTGAATGCCCGGAAGGTTTTACAGGTAGTAAAGAACACTATTTATGCGATACTGAAGTCGATTTATGCTATTCTAATCCATGTCAAAATAATGGTAAATGTCAACGTCGTGAAGGCGGATATAGTTGCATTTGTGGACCGGACTATACTGGAGCTAATTGTGAAACCGATATTCGAAAAATGAAACCATGTACACAGGAGTTATGCGAAGGTGGCTTACATTGTGTCCGTAACTTTCACACTAACATAAATCCGCCATCGTATACTGCGACATGTGAATTAAGAGCTAGATCTTTTTCTAGGAATTCATTTTTAACTTTCGAAAGTTTAAAGCAACGGCATCGTTTCCATATTGAATTGAAATTTGCAACGGTTCATGAAAATGGACTTCTTTTATATAATGGTAGATATAATGAATTACACGATTTTATAGCATTGGAAATTTTAGACGGCAACTTATCGTTTTCATTTTCATTGGGTGACTCAATTAAGTCTGTATCAATTATAAACAACAAAAAAATCTCGGACGGCCAATGGCATACAGCTGAAGTAATTTACTTAAATCGTTCAGTTACACTCGTATTAGATAGGTGTGATACTGCGGTTGCCTTATCTGGTAAAAATTTCGGAGATAAATGGCGTTGTGCTAACCACACCACTTTGGTTTTAGATAAAAAGTGTGCCTCATTAACCGAAACATGCCATCGCTTTTTAGATTTAACCGGTCCTCTACAAGTTGGTGGTTTGCCTAGAATATCAGCGAATTTTCCTGTGCAAACTCAAGATTATATGGGTTGTATTTCAGATTTAAAGATTGATAATCGTTATGTTGATTTAAATGCCTTTGTTGCTGATAATGGTACAATATCAGGGTGTCCGCAGAAATCATCTCAATGCAATTCAGAACCTTGTTTCAATGGAGGAATATGTAGAGAAGGTTGGAATACACATATATGTGAATGTCCAGAAGGATTTACTGGTAATGCTTGTCAAGAAAATGTTCCGCTACCATGGAGATTTTCAGGCGATGGTTTACTTAGCTTCAATCCACTACTACGTCCAATTCAGCTTCCATGGTTTACAGGTCTTTCCATACGTACTTGGCAAAAGAACGCGTTTTTATTACAGATACAAGTAGGTCAGAATAGTACAGTTGTTATTTGTTTGCGTCAGGGCATGTTATATTACATATATGACAACGAGCCAATATATTTAACTGGAACAAATTTAGCAAATGGCGAATGGCATCGAATTGAAATCAAATGGTTGGGGACGGAAATACAAATGTCTGTTGACTATGGTCAACGTAATGGCGTAGTACCAATGTTTCAAAAAATCCAAGGACTTTATGTTGGTAAAATAGTCATTGGAAGCCCAGATGGAGTAATGGGTGACATTCGAGAATTAGACAATTACGAAGGTTGCATACAAGATGTGAGAATCGGTGGAATTCAGTCTATTTTAAACAGACCTACAATTAGGGAAAATGTTGAAGATGGGTGCATGTCTCGTACTGAATGTCCTGAAACATGCCCATTGCAATCAACCTGTGTTACCGGATGGGATCAAGCACATTGTGAGTGTTTAAATGGTTTCGTGGGAGAAGAATGTGCACCTATTTGTACCGTGTCTCCTTGTGCTGCAGGACAATGTCGTGCAGATAATCTAGATAAAAGAGGGTATCGTTGCCAGTGCAACAGTACCACACAATCGGGAGAGTATTGTGAAATTAATCTTCAGCAACCATGTCCAGGAGGTTGGTGGGGAGAAAAAGTATGTGGACCATGCAAATGTAATTTAAAACAGGGATATCATCCGGATTGTAACAAGACCACAGGACAATGTTATTGCAAGGATAATCACTATCAACCAGTAAACGAAACTGCTTGCTTACCTTGCGACTGTTATTCAATTGGTTCTTACAGCGGAGGATGTGATAAACTAAGTGGTAGGTGTTAAGATGAAAAAGTTTAAAATCATTAAAATTAAAATACATTTTTTCAGGACAATGTGAATGTAGAGAAGGTGTTATCGGAAGACGTTGCGATTCTTGTTCAAACCCTTATGCTGAAGTTACGTTAACAGGTTGTGAAGTTGTTTATGATGCTTGTCCAAAATCATTTTCAGCAGGAATATGGTGGCCTCGAACAGATTTGGGTAAAATAGCTATCGAAAATTGTCCTTCGCCCGCTCAGGGGAAAGGTTCGCGACAATGTGATAGCAAATCAGGCAATTGGGGTGCAGCTGACATGTTTAATTGTACCTCTGAAGCATTCGTCGAATTACGCAAGCAGTTATCTCAATTAGAAAGAATGGAATTGGAACTAAATTCATTCATTTCCGTAAAAATGGCAGAAAATCTAGGTCAAGCTTGTACACTTGTTGGTGGAAAAAATTTAGACAAAAAAGATACAAGGGACAATGGCCGTAGATATAAAATGGAATCCTCATTTTTATTGAATGAAGGAAATAATATTTGGTCTGAAGAATTTGAAATTGCATATTTGTCAGACGAAATTAAATTTATTCACGATAAACTGTATGGAGCAGATCTATTAGTTACGGAGGGGCTTTTACATGAGTTAATAAACTATGAACTTATGCAGAACGGTTTGAATTTATCTCATAGTCAAGATAAATACTTTATCAAAAATTTAGTTGACAGTGCGGGAACTATATTAGATAAAAAGTATCGCCCGGAATGGAATCGGGTAATGCAATTAATAAGAAGAGGTCCAGATGATTTAATTGACGCTTTCAACAAATATATGATCACTTTAGCTCGTTCTCAGCATGATACATACACAAATCCTTTTGAAATAGTACACAACAATATGGTGTTGGGTCTAGATATTGTTACTGCTGAATCTTTATTTGGATATGAACCGGAGCAATTAAGCGAATACCATAAAGCTAAGTTCTTGAAGCCTAATCAGTTTACAACCGAAAAAGTAATTCTACCTGATACAAGCGGATTCTTACAACATTCTGCTAAACAAAAACCCGTAATTTCATTCCCGAAATATAATAATTATTTACTTGATAAAAAGAAATTTGATAAAACAAGCAAAGTACTTGTTCCATTAGACATGCTAGGTATAAGGCCTCCAGAAAAAAATACTGTCAGTCAAAGCGGCTCTAGTAATTATCGAGTAATTGTCAGTTACGCACAGTATAAAGACGTTGGGCAACTTTTTCCAGAAGCTTTTGATGACACAGTAACTCGACGCTGGGGAGTTGATATACAAATCGCTTCTCCAATATTATCACTCGCAATCTTAATCCCAGGTAAATTTAAATATTTAAAATGCCTTTACATATAATTCACAATATTTGTTTTTTTTTCTTTACTTTTACTATAGGTAGTGAAATTGAATCTTCTCAAGAAATATCTTCACCAATGAAAAAATATCCAAAGTACTCAACTGATAGCAGCGTTGAAACATTTAGCAATTCAAAAAATACAGAATCAAGAAACTCTGAGGAAAATCTGCATCATGAAGATATAAAAATTATGGCACACGACATTCAAGAAGAAAATAGTGAATTAGATGAAACCCCTGAAATAAAAGTCAGATTCAATGAGGAAGACGTTCAAATTGATGAAGATCGGGTAGAAATAGGCGGAAGTGTTGAACACGATGAGCCATCAATAGAAAATACAGATACCTCTGACGAAATAAAGAAAATTGACTCGTTAGTAATCAGAGAAAATGAATCTACATACTCTAATGAAAAACGTTTGGTCAAGCGTGAAATAAAAGATAACAACGGTTATACAGATTCGCAATATGAAAATATCAACGAAAAACGAATAATTTATAGATCGTTAGGGTCACCACATTTGTCTCAACCAATCCAGTTGCAAATGTGGCTCGATATCGATCCGTTCCGCTTTGGAGTGCGTTCAAATCCCCAATGCGTACGTTGGAACTCTTTCACAAATCAATGGACACGTTTAGGCTGTCAAACCGAAATACCGAATTATGATGAATATATATACGGCCAGCCTATCACAATCAACTGTTCTTGTACACATATTTCTAATTATGCTGTCCTGGTAGATGTTATTGATCCTGAGGACATTCCAGAACCCTCGTTATTAGTACAAATTACATCATATTCCGCGTTTATGATATCTTTACCTATGTTGGTATGCGTACTTATAGCTTTAGCATTGTTACGTGGTATGCAAACAAATTCTAATACTATACATCAAAACATTGTACTATGTGTTTTCTTTGCTGAATTACTTTTCTTCATTGGAATGCAATCAAGACGTAATCTTCTTGAAAATGAATTTCCTTGCAAATTAGTCGCAATTTGCTTACATTACTTTTGGTTAGGTATTTTTGCTTGGACAACAGTTGATTGCATTCACTTATACCGTATGTTAACTGAAATGCGGGATATAAATCACGGTCCTATGGGCTTTTATTTCGCAATGGGATATGGAGCTCCAGCTATTGTTGTTGGCTTATCTGTTGGCGTTCGAGCACATGAATATGGAAATAGTTTGTTGTAAGTATTATTCTTTTTTTACCATATACTGTATTAAGACATGGTTACAGAAATAATTCAATAGTGAAACGAACTATTGCTAGTTTGTTTAGAAATATATGTATTCTTTATTTACAAATTAAAATATTGGAACAAATATTTGCAGTTACGAATAGCAAAAACAAAAATTATCAAATACTCTACTAAAATATATAACAAAAATTCAATTTGAAAAATTTGAATAATAGCACAAAATAGGCATCCTTTTTCAAAATAAATTTTTCACAAAATAAGGATAAATTACTTTGCATATAAAACAATAAAAATACTTTGGAATTCAAAGCATCAAATCTTTCCACATATTTCAGCCACTTGTTAGAACTCTAAATCATAATAAATTATTTATATAAAGTCTATATGAAATTTTCGCATTACGACATTTTTTACCCAAAGGAGTCATTTAAGACAAGAAAAACAAAAAATAACTAATTATTTATGACTATTACGATTTTTTTTGTATTCCCCCACAATCAAGTAATGAAAGAAGTGAAACTACATAAATAAAAAAAAGATTCTACTACACATCTCTTCTTTGTTCCAAAACATAGGATACAGATTCCTCTTTTTAAATAAGTGCTGGTGTGCATTTGTACACAATTAATGTTAATATACTTAAAAGCCTTAGAAAACTCGGAAGTTTTTTTAAAAAACTTCAAAGAGTTTCAGTGAACTTTTTATGATTTATAAAATTGAAAAAATTAATAATAAAGCTTAAACTTGAGTTGTAACAAAAAAATTTTAAACAGAATGAAAACATAATTTGGTCAACAAGCATTCTATAATAGCAATGTTTTGGTACTTTTAGTCTACTTAACTCTTAAAGTTTCTTTAATTTATTTGAATATACAGGGTGATTCAGTAATCAGTGACATAACGTATACCTTAATTTAGAGCAACAAAAATGAGTAAAATTTTTGTTCAGAACTATACGAGTATGTCAAATCTAAACGGTTTCCGAGGTACAGGGATTTTAAAAAATTTTTATGAAATTCCTACTTGCCCAAGTTTTTATGCTTATAACTTCTCTTCCGAAAACGAAAGAACCTTCAAATAAACAGTTTTTGAAAGAGCTAGTATAGGGCTTGAATTTGTATCTACTTTCGGAATATCAGTCATTCGAACTTTAAAAAATCTAATTTTTTCTTTCTTTTATTTTTTTATTTTTCTCCAACCCGATAATTTCGTACGAAATTTTTTGAAACTTTGAAGCTTTTTTTTACAAAATTTTGACCTTTTCCCCCAACCTTTAATTTAAGTCATTAAATGTCACAAAATCTTGTATGATATAGCAGATAGAGGGAAAAAGCATTTCTAAGATTTTAACGGCCCTAATAAAATGTAAAAATTAAAAAAACCCTATTTTTGATGCCCTAAATAACGATATATGGTATGACACTGATTACTGAATCACCCTCCATAAACCAACTTAAATATTTTAATAGTTGTATGCATTTTATTTTATCTTGATTTTATATTGGCTTGAGCATTTACTAATCTTATTCATTCTAATTTTATTAAATAAGGCGGAAGGGCATAGAAAGGAAAGGTTTATTTTCCAATCACTTTTAATCCACTTACATTATATAAGTATTCATTATGCTCGAATACGCTTACTATTTCCCATATTGTGTATTATTCGACATACATAAGTTTTTCTTTTTTTTTGTTTTCCTTCTTCACTCCTAGGAGGAGCATATTACTAGTGCATGATATCATGCCCTAGTTTCACAGCGTCATAGAGTTAACTGGGTAGGTGAGTAGCCTGCCGTAGTTTTATTTATATTAAATATTTAAGTTTATTAATATTTACGGTTTATTTTTCTTAGTTTTTAATATCAAATATTTTAAATATTTGAAGAGGTTTGAACCCCAGACTCTTCGGTTAAAGGACCGGTGCCGTAACACTGCACCAATGGTCAAAATAAAATTAAGTTTTTTTTTTACATATACATAAATTAAATATAAAGATAACCTCTTGAAACTTTTACATTTTTCCTTTTTTAATTTTAACCTATTCTTTTTCCACAGTTGTTGGCTATCAGTTTATGAACCAGTTGTATGGTGGTTAGTTGGACCAATAGCTGGAATGTCAGTCATTAATCTATTAATTTTATTTGTGTCAGTAAAAGCAGCATTTACCTTAAAGGATCATGTCTTAGGTTTTGGCAATCTACGTACTTTATTATGGTTATCGGTTGTATCTCTACCATTGATGGGTGTAATGTGGGTATTAGCAGTTTTGGCAGCGTCTGATAACTCCCAATTTCTATGTATATTACTTTCATCCGTAGTATTACTACATGCTATATTTTGTTTGATTGGTTATTGTATAATAAACAAAAGAGTACGTGAGAATTTACATAGAACAATATTAAGATGCATGGGACGCAAAGTACCATTATTAGATTCTTCCTTAGCAGTTAGTAGCAGTTCTCACAACGTAAATGGCAGAAACGGCAATGGGAATATTAATGGAAGTAACTTTTTAGCATCAAATTACGACACAGCTAGAAGAAACATTGGTATAAGTGCATCTAGTACCACATCAAGAAGTACAGCCAAAACCAGTTCCAGTCCTTATAGGTAACATTATTATGAAACGACAAATGAAAATTCGTTCAGTATTATATTTATTAATATTTAAATTAATGAACTTCTATTTTTAGAAGCGACGGTCAGCTTAGACATACATCAACATCAACATCAAATTACAACTCTGGAAGTGAAGCTGCACATTATGGAATTAGGGGTTTCAGTGATAATAGAAAACAAAGTGGAGGTACGAAACAATTCAAAATCAAAATTTAACAAGTTGCGATCTTTAATGAGATACCAAATAATACTCTAAAAAAGTGTTTTAATTTTTCTAATAACAAATTTTTTTCTTGCCAATTTTCAATAAATATCCAAAAATTTGCAATAAGTATATGTACTTTAAAAAGTATTAATTTCAACTTACAGAAAAAAGGCGTCACAGAAAAGATTCAGATTCTGGATCTGAAACTGATGGCCGCAGCTTGGAATTAGCAAGTAGTCATTCAAGTGATGATGAAGAATCTCGTGTCGGTCGTAATAATAATAACAACAGTAACGCAAATAATACAAATACACATCGTAACACGAGTACTACGAATGCTCCCAACTATTTACCAAATATAACCGAACACGTACAAGCTACAACACCACCTGAATTAAACGTAGTTCAAAGTCCACAACTATTTCCATCAGTAAATAAACCAGTTTATGCACCACGTTGGTCAAGCCAATTACCAGAAGCCTATTTACCACAAAATATAGGAAGCGGTATTCAAACATCAAATAATCAACTAAACTCATCATCAGGAAATATTGGACGGTGGTCACAAGAAACAGGTTCTGACAACGAAATGCATTCACATAAGACTATTTCACCCAATCCACTACCAAATCCTGATTTAACGGATACATCATATTTACATCAACATCAAAATAAAATTAACATGCCACCTTCAATATTAGAAAATATTCAAAATATTCGTAATGATAATAATGGAAGTTGTTATGAATTAGAGCAAGATTTATATACAACAGACGCACATATTATTAGTAGGCGGAAAGACTATCAAGATAATTATGGACCACCGTATGAAGCAACAACATTAGGTCATTTACACCACACAACGTCAACAAATGCAACAAACACAAACATTTTAAATTCAAATACTTTGAGTGGATATAAGCCGCCTAGTCATTACGGAAGTGAAAAAGAATATATAACTAGTAACGTTAGTAATAATGGTAGTAATAAACAAGTTATTAATCATTTGAGAACATTTCATGCTGTTGACAATCCATATTTAAAAGACATTTATGATAAACAAAAGCCGGTAGAATATTTGGGAATCAAAAGTGAATCACCATATATATCTAAAGAGCGATTACATCAACAAGATATATATTCATCAAGAGAAGCACCATACTCAATAAAATCACCACCCCCTTTATATGGTGATTCAATTCATTCATTATTGAAAAATGATTTTCATCAAAACCAACAACAGCAGCAGCAACAACAAAGACATTTAGATTATCATTCAGACAGAATGTCGGAGGGATCAGATAAAAATGGTTATCATTTTCCATATACAGCTGAAGAAGATCATGTAACGATGGGTTCATTACAAAGAAATTTAAATAATCATCATCATAATAATAGTGTCGTTAATGATATAAACAATCCTGGTGTTACAACAAATGGTAGCAGAATGTCCTCCCGTCATGGATCAAGAGCATCGTCTCCACCTAGTATAAATACCACAATGCAACCGATGGCACCATTAACAAGTATAACTGATACTAGCGAGTAAGTTGTAAATTTTATAATTATTTAAGAAAGCATACAAGTCTATTAAATTTTTCAAAAATATTTCAATTTTTTAACATAATTCTTAGTTTTAAAATATTTAACACTTGTCTATATGTATAATTATATATTTTTATTCTATGAAATTTATTTAAATTAAACAAAAATAATTATTTTATATAAATATAATTTCAACATGTTAAAAAAATAAAAAATTAGGCGGTTTCGTGCTCTTTAATTATAATTTTTATGTGCTTAATTAACAAATTAACACATAAAAATTAGAAATATTGAAATGACCATAAATACAGCGGGAATGCCGGTAAATCAGTAAATAAAAGAAGAATAATAAAATCAATTAAAAATCACAAAATCAACTAATTTTATATTTTGTAAAAATTTACATTAAATTAAATAAAATTGATATAGTTTTTGTTTCTGTCTCTCATTATTTAAACATTAAAATATTGTTAAATATTAAAATATAATATAAGAACTCAACTTAAATAAATAATTCCGATAATTGCAGCATAAAAATATTGAGTCACTCTATGTTAATTTGTAAACATTAAATAAAAAGTACATTATTTTAGTTTGGTAAAAATTTATTATATAGTGATAGTGACTATATAACAAGAAATATGATATTTTCTTGCTATTGAAATCAAGGGAAATTCTTAATACATACATATACTGTCGAACACGTTCATTTGAATATGAATTTTTTGAGCATATATCCAAATAACTGTGTTCATTTGTACGTTACATGATGAAGTGTAGCAAGAATTGTTTTCAAGTTTTTTTTAAATAGTTAAAAAATTTTGCATTCACAAACTTCAATTATTAAAAACTGAACTTCTCTATTGAAAGCAATGAAGTAATTCAATATAATTTTTCAATATAAAATTTTTCCGTGAATCTTTGTATTAAATAATCATAAACATTATAATATATATACTGGTCCATATATAAAACAATATTTGCAGACCAATATTAAGCAAGTAATACAAAGAAAAATAGATATTTAATGATTAAAAATAATTATAGAATGTTTAATTAATAGATTATTAAATAATTTTTGTAACATATTGAGTTAATAATGACATTGAGCGCTATAAAATGTGTTACCACATCACGTGTTATATAAACCAATATCATTACAAATTTATTTAAGTTGAGCAAATTAAATTTTTATAAACTTAAGTGTAGTTTTTAAAAGAGCTAAATATTACATCAAATACGGTCGGAAATGTAACATTGACAGTATTCCGTATTGTAAAAAAATGCAATTTTTTACGATATATAAAGTTCTATATTATGTCATAAAAAAGTTTACCATATTATGTGTTCCGTATTGTAATGTTTTTTCAAAATGCAATGAAAAGCAAATCACAAATTCAAAAAATTCTAAATGATTTCTAAATATGAAGTTTTGGCAACAACATAAGTATTACCAGTACGGATCAGTTTTTATTCAAATTTATTGAAAATTAATCTTTGACTTTTTGCGATAAGTTTGGTGAAAAAAAAATTGACTATAAGCTTAAGATTTTAAAGAGGATTCAAAAAGAAATTTCAACCTCAAAAAAAAACGAAAATTTACATCCCGAAACTTTAAAAAAAATTTGATTTTTCTTTACAATGCAGTGTCATTGTATTTAATTTGGATTTAAACCATACCTGTCAAACATGCGGCCCAAGTAAGTAAAATTTGCGGTCCATTCGACAATTTTAAATTGTTAAGGTTTGCGACCCTAACTATATTTCTTTTCCACTGGTTTTTTCCTTTTTTCCATCGCATCAAATTTTTCAAATTCTTCCACCATCTTCATCCAAAATTAATTAAATAAAATGTATTTCATTAATAAAAATAAATAAAAGATATATTTTATAAATACACATGAATTAAATTCTACATAAGTCTTTTTATTACTTTTTTATTGATATTTTATTTCTTTATTTTTTCTAACTTTTTTGCGGCCCATAGTTCTTACCTAACTTAAAAATTGGCCTCAACATCCATTTAAGTTTGACAGGCCTGATTTAAACACAGTGTAAAGTTGGTATTAAAACTTTGTTTTTGACAACACGGAATACTGCTATTTTGTTTAAAATATTTTATATTTCTTGTGTTTCAATTTATTAGTTGCTTTTTTATTGTTTTGTTTTTCACATATTTATTAAACAATTAAAAAATATATAAACACATTAAAAATACATAATTATACTATATATTTTTAACAGATGGTCTTGGGATAGACTCAAAAAAATCTAATTTGAGTTTATTTTCTTTTCTAATTTTCTGTCTTACACCTCATAAATTAATAAAAAAAAACATTTATGGTTTAATGGAATAACTAACTCTTAAAAAACATACACAAAAAACAAAAAATCATACCAAAAATGCAAAATAAATGCAGATCGGAGGTAAATTGTAAAAAAAATTTCTATTAGTTGAAGTTTTTGATAACCGAGTGGAGCTTTTTGTTCAAAATAAAGAGTGGCTTCTTCGTCTTAATTCATTATTATTTAAGCTTTATTTTTTATTTTCAATATTTCACATTTGACTTCAATTGTTTTTTTTTTTCATTTCTTTTTATTCAGTCAGCACTATACTAACTACTATTTATAGAGTGTAATCCTTTCTGCACTATATTTTTCAAATTTTTGTTTATTATTTTTTTTTAAACACAATATACAAATTATGTTATAATGTTATTTATTTTTATACTAAAATAATTGAAAAGAAATTTTAATTTATTTTAAAAATATAAAAGCGTTTTCAAAATAAATTAATTATACTTAAATAAAAAATATATAAAAATAAATAAAAAATAATTAAGTATAATAGCACATTTTTTTATAAAAAAAGTAAAGTCAAATAATCAAAATCAATTTATTCATTACATTATGCAAGATTGCATTATGCATTTTACTAAGTATTTGGGGAAACGAAACGCTTACTTTTACTATACAAGTTGGTAAGAAAAAAAGTTACGATCAAATTACAATTTTCAAATAACAAATTACATTGACTGAAATTTGAGATTAGGAACATGAAAATCATTACTCTTTCTTTCATTATAATTATGAACAAACAATTTTTCACAATCTTTTGCCCAGTATTTGTAATAAAGTAATAAATAGACTGTTCAAAAACCAAAAAAAATTTTAAGAATTAATAAAAATAAGCAAGTAAAATGCATGTGATAACGTTGAAAAAAAAGTTTTATCAAATTTTTAATTCGGTAGACGGTAGTCATAGACATTGATTTCAATGATAAATAAATTTTTATTTTTTTTAATTATGTGTTACCTTTTATAACGGTTAACCTGTTTGTTCGAGCCTTTAAAACATGTACTTAAATACTTTATATATCTATTGAAATGAAAATAGCTACTCATAATTTATTTGACTTGTTAATTTAAAAAATTAATTTTTGAAAACGACTTAAAAAAATAATGTTTTTACATTATTTAAACTTCTTTGATTCTGGTTTTGTTTTATTAATTCGATTTTTATTTTAATTTTTTTGTTGAAATTCCTTCTTAAAATTTTAAAAAACGAAAAGTTATTCTACATTTAAGAAACAATATAACACTTATACAAATTAATAAAAAAACACACTTTTCAGTTTCCAATTATTTGGGTTCGCAGAAGAAGAAGAAGCTCTCCATGGGCTTTAACAATATGGTACAATGTTCATATAATTTTCTATTACATATAGTGACCGAAATGAAAAAAAAGTAGATTCGAACCCTAAATTCACAATTATTTATATAAAAATTATTGAATATTGAAAAAAAAATTATACTTCCTTTAAAATCGCATGTTATTTGAACTTTTTGAAAAAATTCCTTATTTAAATATTACTAAATCAATGTACAAAATCTGTAAAAAAAAATAATTGTATATTCGTATATATGTACATAATTCATAAGTTCAGGTGAAATGAAAAATTTCACTTCATTTAGGATTTACCCTAATTTTTACATTGCGTAGTTAAATTGAAAGTATATTTTGATTTATATTTGTCATAATGTACATACTATGTATAACCAATTCTTTTTATGAGATGAATGACATATATATGTAACTTAAATAACATTGAATTAGTGAATCCCTATTTTATTATGAGGAAAAAAATTTTTGTAAATAGAATCAAATTAATATTAGAATATTCTCCTGGTCTAACCAAAACTAACCAAAACTATGTTCACAGAATGTGTAAAGTATTCAAAACCAATTTGTCTACCCTTCTTCTAGTAAATTTTTCTTTCAAATTAATTATAATCGTTTTTTAATTTTTGTTTGTTTTTTTTCTGCAAAAAAATTTACTCTAAGTCTAAGTACACTTCACCAAGCATAAATACTAACACAATATAGGAATTTGAAAAGAGCTAAAAACATATACATACATATATACATATGCACACAGCCAATTGAAAATCCACATTCACTACACAAAAATTTTTTTTGCGAAAATTTGTCCTTTATTTATTATTGTGATTTTTTAAATAAAAAAGAATTAGAAAGTTTTTAGATAAGTTTTGAATTTTTCAATTAAATTTTAAGGAAACGTGCTTAAGTTTTTATGTGCTCTGACATTTAACTTCCCTGTTACATAAGAATTTTTTCTACTAAAACTTTATTTTAAATTAAATTTACTTAACTTTTATATTTAAGCATGAACTTATTTTATGTTTCAGTAAATTAACCATAGAATGCTATTTCGTTTTAATTTGTTTAAAATTTTAATATGTACCTACATATGTTTATGTAATTTATTTTGATTTAACTAACTTTTTTATTTAAATTAATTCATAAATTACAAATATGCATTTTGTTTAAACAACATGCGTATGTAGAACAATAATATTTAATTCTTATTTTGTATAATTAAATTTGTTATAAAAATTACCAAGTCACTAAATCAAACATCTATATAAACGCAGAAAAATAAAATTTCATTTTTTTATAGGGGCTTGTTCTGAGAATTAAGCGAATGTAAATAAAAAATAGAAAGAGAACGTTTTTGAAAAACAAACGCAAATTTTCTAGAGAAATACAATTATTCGTAATATTTTAAATTTTTTTTCTTAAAGATTGTAGATCTTTTGTAAAAATAAAAACGCTGAGAGGACGGAATGAACGGAGTGAACATTTTTTAGCACTTTTCCAAAAAAAATTGTAAAAAAGCTAATCATTAGCTTCATATTGTCCGTCCGTCTTTGTGTTTATTAACAAAACTTCTACACCCCTTTAAAATAGAAAGCTTAAGTTATACCCAAATAGACCTTTACCAAAAACTTATTTCTGTAAAAATCTTCGCCTTTCTACTCCCTCAAAAATTTTTAACTTCTGCAAACTCAGAAAAGTTTTCCCAGATGGCAACTTATAGTAGTCTGAAATTTAGTAACCACAGACACCAATTAATAAATTATTTCATTAGAAGAAAATTTTTTCCCTACCCTACACCTCTCTCTCTCTACCCCTCCCAACCCCCCTTCCCATCCCGTTATCACCACTCGAAATTTGTTAAATTTGAATTTAAAAAAAGACCACTAGTAAGATTCGAATTTGCTTTTAATTTACACAACTGCATTGTGTCTTTAAAATCTATAATTTACGATAGAATGTCACAATCACTTATTGACTTTCTTTCATAAATCCGCACTATCAATTAAACACAAATTTTTGTTTGTCAAGGTCGATTTCAAGATTCATGTTGTACCAAACTGTAATACAATTGAAGTAGGTTCGAATTTCCGCAATACAAAAAATGCCAAATAACAATTTTTATTATACAAAATTAAATATGTTTGTACATTATAATACAAAATGTTTTATTTTTATTTTAATATTAACCAAAATCATTTTTTTTTAATTTCTGAACTTAGTTGTATGAAATTATTTTCATTAAAAAACTTTCAATTTATCTAAGATATTAAAAAACTTAATGTAACAATTTTATTTTTAAAAACTTTAAAAACAAAAATTGTTTTTCCTCTTATTTATCACAATTTCAAAAATTTAACAGGAGGAGCATTGATATAGAAGACGATGAAACAACAGTATGATGAAAGTTGAAATCTATAGAATATTATTATTAAAATTTGGAAAAACGAAGAAGAAACCTTAATCAAATTAAATTAATTTGTAAACATACATAAATAAAACTACAAAAATAATTAAAAATTTATATTTAAAAATAACGATAAGAAAACGAAAAAATGTGTTTATGAGTGTTAACTGTGTGTAAAATAAAAAAAACTATTTATATATATATATATATAATAGGTGCTAAAGTAATATATTTGTAAATAAATATAAAATGAAAATTTAATTGTATGCATGTACATATAGCTATATTTAACGTATATACTATACTTAAAAAATTAATCTGATTATTTAAATTTAGTATAGGGCGATGCAAAAAAATTTTTATTTTTTGTTGATTTGGATAAACATATACATATACAAAAAGAATCCTTTCCGGTCTGCTTCGGGATTCCCACATGACTTTTTCGTTGCCACAATTGTTACTGTCAACAAGCAAATTTCTTTTTTATTCAAATACAATCTGGTTTAGATTTGACCAAAAATATTGGATTTGGCAATATCAAATAATTTTTAATCCAAATCACAAAAAGAATCAACAAGTTATTTTTACGGTCTGTTTTTTGCATATTTTTATGTGGCATTACATGTGTATACGTGCACATACATATAAAATCACATTAATAACGGCATTTTATATATTATCAGTGCATATTAAATACGCATAAAAAAAAAAATAATTGCCGACAATGTATTAAAAAGCAACAACGCAATGAAGGCAATTGAGAAGTTTCTTTTACGAAAGAGGCCATAAAATTTTGTTTATTACATTTTTTGTATTTTAGTATCAATCTTTTTTTTTCGTTTTATATACATAAACGTACATTTATTTTTCAATTAATTACAAACATAATGTGTAGCTAATATCTAAAATATTTTAAATGTTACATAAAACACGAAAGGCTGAAATGAGATTATACTCCCTTTACTCTTTTATCTGACTGGTAACCTTAATAGTGATATCCAGATATGTACGTGTATACTGAACTTAAAATAAAAAGAATGAATTGTATGTATAAGTTCGTGAATTGTACAAATTTTTAAGTCAAAATTGAAACTTTCATTTTCTATTTCTATATTTTCAATATAAAGAAAATTGAATTACAAGTGTGTATTTACATACAAGTGTGTAAAAATATATACAAGTGTGTATTTTTACTTTCCTTGATATTCTTTTAATTTTTACTTCTTCAAAATACCGTGGTCTAGATATCTACGTTTTTCACAAAAAAAAAAGTTATAAATGCAGTATTACTTAAAATTTTAAGCGCTTTCTAATGCAAGAAAAAAAAATAATTTTTCCAGTAGTTTTAAAAAAAATCTTTGAAGAACGTTATAACTAACCAATTGTTCCAAAAATTTTCCTGGCAAAATTAGATATCAAAAGTTATTCACTTCTCGAAATCATAAAATTTTCTAAAAAGACATTGAAATAAAGATAAGTCATGTTATACCCTAATGACAATGTATTCTAGTTCTTTAACTGTTTAATTTCTAGTTGGAAATGAAACATCTGCACATATTCATATCTACATCCTAAACTCTAGATGTATAAATTAATTTTTTGGTTTTAACAATTCTGTAAAATGTTCGAAATTAATACGCATCTCTGCGAAAATACACTAATCTAAAAAAAATCAATTTTAATATATTTATGAAACACTGTTTCCACTTAAGAAATCGAAGGTAATTCAAAACTCTAATCAATTCATATATAGGGGTGAATGTTCAACCTATACTTTGATATGTTTTGCAGCTGATAAATGAAATTTTGAACGGTATTTAGGAGTTAATATACATTTGTACGACAGCAATGCCATTAGTAAATTATACTATTAAATTATATTTAAAATCATAGCCACATATTTCTTAAATTTTTTTTACAAGTAAAAAATTAATAAAAGCATTTAGCTCCAAAATACAACTAAAAATAGATATTAATTTTATTTACTTAAGTTGCCATTTATATAAAAATCATATGTATATATATATATATATATATATATACAATAAAATATAAAATTGTTCAAATAAGTAATTATTAATTCATTATATTCAATAATGTAAAAATGTATGTAAAAAAAGAATATTTTTTAATAAAAACAAAAAATACAGAACTTTATAAATAAATTTATATTATAAAAAAAAAATAATATATTATATATAACTTTAGTAAAAAATAAGATTTGTTGCATCAAAATTGACTGAAAGTTAAACTTTAAAGTTAAAAAATATATTATACATTTATGTAGTGTACGAGTACATGAAATTACTTAGTAGTTTAGTAAAAAAATTAAATGAAAATATAACAACACTTAAAACATTTATTCAAAAATATTCTAAAACACTATATCGAAAATTCCGTACAGGTGTAAAAGTTCATAATTTAAATAGAATAAAGAAGCATGTTTAAAATAGGGAAAAAGATGATATTGTTACTGTTAAGATATTGTAAAATCAAACTGCATAATTTTTTTTATCATAAACACTTATATTTTTACATATATATTCGCAACATTATGTTTTACATAGGTTTACATTTATTCATAATACATATAGGTATACATACATAGCAGATTTGCCGAACCAGTAGATCGCAACACGATCTATAGCTAAAAACCTTATATATGTATGTAAAAAAAAGTTTTTTTTAATTTAATTTTCTAATAACACTTTTTGCAAATCGAAAAATAATTATTTAAATTTTTTTGCTAATATTGAATAAAAATGTTTGCTTGAGTCATAGTGATAAAATTTGAAATCACACTTCATTACGACTAGCAACTGAATTTTCTTTAGAAGATAATTCAAATGGCTGGTATTACACGTACAGTGATCACCACAGCTTTAAAATGAAGCACTATATAAAATTCGTTGTTGTTTCGTTGTACAACAAGGCATATAAAATCTGTTGTTGTCTCTTTGAGCGATTGCTTCTTATAAATCGCCTCAGTTAAAGCTACGGTGGACAATCTTGCGAATGTAATCGCTCACAATGCTATGTCAAATTTCAGTTTTTATTTGCTTCGAAATAAGTCACTGGGATTTGTACTTTTTCCAACAATGCCAAATAACTCATTAATTTGATATTTGCTAATTTTATGACATTTCATTTATTTAGTTTTTCTTTTATTTGAAATTGTTTATTACGCTTCTTTGGTTTCGTAGATATTTTTTTAATTTGAAAATTAAATAAAACATATGGAAGTTGATCTTTAGGAAGTTGGATTCAAAAAAATCGAGTTTTAAGTACAAAAAGATTTATCAGACCTTTGTTAAAGTTTTATATTTTCAAGATTTTATTTATATGTATATATTTTTGACTTCATATCGAAAGTCTTAGTGAAATCAAGTTGTATTTGAAATAACTTCACCAATTTTAATTTTCATTATATAATTATTACAGTAAATTCTATAAAATTTGTACAACTTCCAAAAATAAATATATAATGTACTTGTATATAAGCAGGTACATGTCTCCTGATTGCAAACAAAAATAAGTAAAAAATTAAATTAATTCAGTCTCTTTCGAAAATAAAATTATAAAGAAAATCTATAAAATATTTTCACAATTTTTAATAAACTGGACAATTTCCAGTCTCTCTTTAAATTCAATGTAGTTTTGAATTAAGGAAATTTTCAATAATTCAAACGTGCGTCGAAAGTCCCAAAATAAATTTCAAAAATCTTTTCACACATGCTTACAAATCTGCCGAATCTGAATATTTTACTTTTGCAGATTTGTAACATACTCGAGCATAATTCTTTAATATCCAACATTTTTCTATTATGCTCTCCTTTATAATTTATAATATTATATTATAATTATTATTTATAAAAAAAAAAATTGAATATTCCTTTAGAACTTTAAGCACAACTGTAATTTTCAATTTTATTTTTCTATTAATTCTTTTTGTACGGATTTTGCCTTTTAAGCTTATTTAAGATTTAATTTAGAGCTAAATTATCGAAAATTCTCTAATTCAAAGCGAATATATTAAGATCACGTGTTATATGATAAACATTTCCAACTAAACAATTTTTGCAATAATTGACATTTAAAAAATTTTTCTAGAATTTTCAATCAACCTTAACAAGACATAGAATTTTTTCAACAGAAACAGACAGCTTTATTGGAAAAAAAAAAATTTAAATATTCTAATTATTATTATTATTATTTTCTAATTTAAATTTTGAATACGCACTAAATGTACATTACCGAAATAAATAAAAATATAATTAGTGCCTAGGTACGAAAATTTAAAAATTTAGTTAAAATCATTTATAGTTGAAAAATCAACCATGTTTGTTTTAGGATTATTATTATAGTTTTAAACAATTTTTTTTATATATGTATGACAAAATATATAGTAATATAAGTATAATAGCAATGTACAATTTTCATTTATTACAAAAACAAACAAATATTATTCATTTTAAATGAATTTCAAATTCAATCATCAATATTATAATATGGAACATTATTTTTAAGATAAGATTAATTTAATAATTGACATACATACATAGATTATAAATTATATAAGGAGTGTTTCTTAAGATTAAATTTATATTATATTATAAAGAACTGTATATTTTTAAAACAAGATACTGAAACTGCATTTATTATATTTAACATAACAATTGCATTGATATATATATGACATAATATTTGTATATATATATATATTTACTCATTGATGCAAATATAAGAAGGCACATACACACAATATGTGCATACATTGCATTTATAAAGATAATAAGTTTTTTTATTTCACAACTATATCAGTACGAACTCGTACAAAATAATCGAAAAATATTATAAATAACTTCATTTTGATTGTTCTTTGTGTGAACTAATAAATTTGACCTGTACTGTAGCTTATGTTAATATTTCATTTTGTATATAAAGCAAAAACAAAATACATACTAACATTTATACTTTTATATTTGTTTGGGGCATTTTTATACTTTTATATTTATTATATTTTAAAGATAAAATCAAATATATAAAGTTATAAAATCTTAAATCTTGAGCCTTGAAATTAAATGGAACATGTATACATATATGTTCATATTCATGTAAACACTTATTGTCAGATTACACCTATATCCTGGTTGGTTTAAGCATATTTTGCAATTTAAAATAAAGATTAATTTTAAAATATCCATTTTTTTTGCCTTTTAATTTGTATTTACATCAAATTATTACATTAAGACATTCGTTCAATGTTTCAACAAATCAGCATTATACATTTACAGGAGTTATACATTTTTATAACTAATGACGTAATTAAATCAGAAAAATGTTCCAAATTGAACTTTAATCCCAGTATGTAGCAAAATTGTATTTTTTTAAATTTATATTAAATATATACAATTTCAAAGTTTTGAACTTGTTATGCCGGTCTAGCTATTTTATTCCAATAGACCTTAATATCCATTCAACTACAAAATACAGCAAAATAATTTATTATATTAAAATAAAATAAATTTTCAATAAACTGCTCTTAATAAGACCCTTTAACATTTAATTAATTTTAACTAAAGCTAAGTATTTAACTTAATATTGTGTAAAAAATTTTGATTATGTATTTAAATTAATGTACTATTTAATTTGCAATTTATTTGTAATTTAAAGCTGAATCTGAACTGCCAATAAATATTTTATAACAAAATTTGTACATGGAATTTTATAAAATGATATATTTTATACATTATAATAAATTAAATCAAAAATAAATTAATTAATTTAATTAGCTTTATATAATTTTTGTTTATATTTTTTAACTTACGTAAATTAAAAATTAAAACGAAATTTTATAATTTGGAATTTTGACGAAATTATTATGCACATGTAAAATTTTAATATACTAGCGTATATTGAAAAATTATTGTCGAACCCTAAAAACGCTATAATTAACAGTTCAATTTAATTTTTTTATTATTGAATACATATTCAATATAAAATATTTAACTTATTATACTACAAATAGCATAACGACATACTATAGATATGTATATGATATCATCGGTATTATGAAAGAGTCATGAAACTGCTTCTTTCTGTTTCGAAAAAAACGCATTTGAAAATATACACAATAATGTCAATTTGCGAGATACTTATAAAATCGAAAACGTTATTTTTCTGAAAATACTAACGTTCGAGTTACGTGGGTTTTTATAAAAATATTTTAGGAAATTGTGAATTTCAGTATTTATGATTCAAAACGCTCGCAGTTTCAAGACTCTTCCATAAAACCGACGATATGCCATAATAAAGTTCTTTGATTAGTGCAAAAACAGAACCAAAGTGGTGAGCATCAACGGCGGACGATTTCCGTTGTTAACACAGAACGATAGCAAAACGTCAAAAGTCAAAATCAACTAAATGTTAAAAATGTTGACATCAGTCAACAAAATCGGCAACGGTTAAGTACGAGTAGTAATTTAGGAAATTTACCATGTCGGTTGAATTCGCACCGGTAACTTTGTTTGAGTCGGAACAGTCCAATTTATATATGTATTAATACAATTATGAATTTCGAGATTTCACCGTAGAAAATCACTCTTGCTCTGTTTTCGACTTTACGAATGTGTCACAATGATCAAGTTTCTAAATACTAAACTTTTTCAAAAGCTTTAATACATGCTTTTCTTATTTAAAACTTATTCGAAGTCATCACGGGATACTACATCTTTAAAGCTTTCTAATGTGTGTGCATACAAAGATTTTAAATTATATCTTTTATATTATACATAATAAACATATACATAAGCGTGTATCAAATATTCTTAAAGTTCGAATGATTTAAAAAATTATAAAATAAATTGTGAACCCTTTTCAAATATAAAAATTAAATTTAACCACAATTAATTTAATATTTTAAACAATTTGCAATTTTTTTCCAATTGTACGCTTCCAAAAAATAATAATATGTTTGAAACTTTCGTTTTTGAAAAGGAAAGAAATACTTTTGAATAAATTGTGACTGTTAATTAAAGTTAAACGGTTAACTATGTAGGTATATATAATATCATTTTAAAATAACTGTTTAGAACTCTCTTTAAATTCATTTTCACATATAGAAATTTTACTAATTTAATTAAAATATTTTTGAAAATGTTCTTTCAATTGATCTTTTAAGTTAAAATTTTATGTCATTATTTTCATTGTTTAAGTTTAAATCATATTTCGAATCATGTGAATGATTTTTTCATACTCATGTAGTTTTATAAATTTATTTATAATTTTTAACAATGATTTTTTGTATATTATATATACGAGAAAACTTTTTTTTTGATAATAAAAAAAATGTATACATATAATTTATGAAAAATAAAAAAAAATAAAACAATTGCATAATAACCTAACGTAGTTTGATTTATCTTGTTCTTGAAAGAATTCTTGATGCAATCTATTATGAATAGTCAATACATTTCTTTTTAAAAAGTCTAGATTTTGGAAAACAACTTCAGCACCAAGGTGAAATTATGCTGCGAACTGAACAGGCTGTAAAAATATTCTTAATGTACAAATATTTTTTTATTTTTTTTTTTTTGTGTTAAAATTTTGAGTATTCCTTGTGACTCTCATTTTGGGCTTCTTCGGTACTGCATGATGTGCTGCAAGTTCTTCATTAGAACTTTTTACAATATTTGAAGTACTTCAAAGTTTGACGCTACCACTTTTTTGTGATGTCCAAGTATGTCAGAATGAAATTATGATTTGTGAATTATGATAATCCGACTAATGTCTTTATAACTAACAAGCAAAATACATACTTATGTATATTTATTTTAATAAGTAATTCCACTCTGCGTTTACATCACACTAATCATTCATCAATATTTGTATACAAAAAATTCCCTTAGCTAAAAGAGTCTTCTTATTTTCATTTTTATACACATACAAATTTTTGGATGAGAGAAAGGGTACGGAATAGATGTCTACGAAAACAAGTAAACAAAAAAATAGATTAAGGCGAAAAAAGTGAGTATTAAAATAGAAAAAAATATATAATTTACATATGTGTACATAATTTTACAAAAATAATAGAAAAAAATTTTAAAATTAAGAATTTTTTTATTTTTTTTCAATTTTTTTTTAAATTTAAAGCAAATATTTCTTATAAATATACACATATGTATATGCACACATATCGGTAATACGCATTTATTCAAACAATTTGGCGAATGGCTAGGCAAATCGAATATTTTAAATTATGATCGGCGAATGGTTTCATTCGCCCGATTCAACATGTTGCTACCGCAATACCGACAATCTACCGAAAATAATGATATATATGTACATTGCTTTAGCCTTTTTTGCAAAACCAATTGAATTTTCCTATATCTTCAGCACTTATAGGATTGTTGTCCGTTAATTTATTTAAATGCTTGAATCGTTTTTGGTTCGATTTTTTCACGCTTAAATTAATATTGAACAATCAATATTTTTTACAATAGTTTAGATTTTTCCACTATATCACTCTTGACATTACAAAAAATCGTGACCTGGACCCTGCTTTTTTTGTGAATGCATTTTTGCCGAAATGACATTTCTCAAGATTTTTTGTTTTTTTGGGAAAATGTTCTTTCAATTTGCTTTAATAATTCTATTAAATACTTTTATGTTATTAAATGTTTTAATAACACAATACTTTAAGAATGTAAGCACTAATAAAGGAGAAAGATATTGAACTTGACCTTTTTCTAATTAAAAATTTGAAAAAAAGTTGATCTTGTGGAACATTTATGATGTTAAAATGAGCCCTCTATAGATCCCATAAGAATACGTGTAAATTCGTCAGCTGTGAACTGTTATTCTCTCTTGGGATCCAGGTTTGTATTTTATTTCAGCCGTGATATCACTATAAATGCTATAATATCCAATAAAAAATAACACATGTATTATTTTGATCTTTGGTTTCATTCGCCAAAGCGTGTCACAGAATTTTCATTCGACTCATTTGACAGCTCATTCGCGATAAAATTTAGGAGAATTCGCTAATCATAATACCAAAAATTCATATTGGTCAAAAATTTCATTCACCTCGCCGATCATTATAATCACTTAAAAGATACAGAATTGTTTTAAATAATTGCAATTAGTTTTTAAGTTCAAAACATTTAGTTTTTGTTCATATTTATTTTAAAACTAGTTCAAGCAATTTATATTTGATTATTTATCTTTTATATCAAATTTATTTGTGCTCTTCTTTCATTTTTTATTAGCAGGTAAACAAGAGTGACCTATGTATTTATAAAATGTATTTGCCTATCTTAATACTTAACGCAAACGAACAAAATTTTAAATAAGTACCTGTCCATTTTACAATCAGAATATTTTAGTCATTTTCTAAGATCCCATTTATTTCAATATGTAAGAACGTTAAAGCTACTTTAATATAAAACATTTATAATATGCATCTATTAGGTACAATGTATATACTCATATGTACATACATACATATGTCATAGCACAATTTTTCTAAATTGGGATAGGCAGCAAACAAAATTAGTATAAAAAAAGCAATAAAATATATATGTATTTATATATATGTATGTACATATAACAAGTTTAAGGGCACGTACGCAGTAAATATTAGCTTACTCAACTTGAATTTAATAAAGCCCATTTACAACGCATTATAAACGGCCTTCCTGTTCTATTAGTAAGGATTAACTGGCTTTGGTAGCCTCTGTTTATAAAGTAAATCTCCCTGAGGTTGATTTGCTGAGAGTACCGGCGGAAAAGTTCTGTGCTTCTTTCCTTTTACACGATAATGATTTGCTAAGGTGTCGATGGCGTGTAATACAATAAATGATCTTCGTAGTAACTGCAGTAACCTTCGGCTAACTGCATTACTTAGCTTTAGGATTTAATTGCATAGCAGAATTTACTAAAAGCGGCCAGGATTTCACAGTACCACTAAAAGTATAGAAGCACAATTATTACGGATTAAGATCGTTACCAAAAAATTTGTTTTTGTTTAAGCATCCCCTCCCCACATTTTTAATTCTCATAAGTACATACATATTTCCATATTTTAACAATTTCAAAACAAATTTTATGTTGACATTAACATGAAGTACACAAATGATAAGGCATTTGAATTTTAGGATATATGTATAAAGAATTTTTTCAAAATATAAGATAGAGATATCTAGTTCATTTTGTAATAAACGATGAATAAATTTGATTTATTTATATAAAAGAAAACTGTTTTAAATTACTTTTCTTGCTTTAAATTATAATTTACAATAATTTATGAAATAAATTTATTTCATATACAATAATGCAAATAAGTTATCTTGAATCTAAAGCAACTGAAAGAAACTATTGATCTGGATTATAAGGCGTTATTAAATTCTCAGAAAACTTCTTCACGTTCTCAACACCACGTACTTCATTTTCCAAAAGTGGCAATTTTACAACATGAAAATCTTCATATAAATCAGCTATTTGATCTAAATATTTACCTTGAATCTGAAATTAAAAAAATTATAATCATATAAAATAAACCGCAAATTCTTTAACGTCAAAATTTTGTTTTCAGTCTGCAAACTGTCTGACGTATAAAACTTTTACGGACAGAAATGTAGTAAACTTTTTACCCGTAATTGACTTTGAATTTTGATCATCCGTAAACGTCAAAACAAAAAAAAAATTTTTTTTAGATTTAAAATAATTTTATACTTACATATTAAAAATTAAGAAAAAAAATATTTTTTATATTATTTTTAACGTAATGATAGTCACTCAATACATCTAATTTATTTACTGAATTACTACGTCAGACTGTCTGCATGTAAAAAAAAAAATCTGCAATTTTGACGCTTAATTGACTTTTTTTAAATGTTTAAGAATTTAAACTTTGACTGAAAGTAAAAACGCAGTAGAGTATTCGTAAACTCAGACAACTCAGATTTTGTAAAATTTGACGTTTAAGAATTTACCAAAACATAAATAATTACAATTTTCTTTAAAAAAAATATAAAAACCTTATATCTGGAAGCACACATTGAACATGGCTGTTGATTTTTGTGTTTAAAAAGCAATTGATTTACAATAATATTATGAGTGTCAATTCCACACTTTGTTAGTTCTTGGACTAATCTTTCAGTTTCATAGAGGGATAAAAATTCTGCAATGCAAACACAAATAAAAGTAGTCTGATCCTAAAATGGTGTAAAAACAAAAAAAACTTAAAAAAAATTTTAACAGAGCCATTTATGTTTTACGGGATTTGTGAACTGTTCATTGACTTGTCGAATAACTGCTAACATTTCATCTAATTTTGCCGTTAATGCATCCGCACTAAAATTATATAAAATATTGGGTATCAAAACTTTTTAAAACTTAGTATGTATTTTCTTTTACATCTAAATCAATTAACCATATGAAATAAGACTCATCATTTAAAGTGATGGAAAATTATTACGAAATTTGTGTGCTTAGAAATAGAGGGTAATGAAGTTTTAGATTAAGCGTGTAATACAAATCCCGCTGCTTTTGAACATATTTCCATAACTTCAAGTGATATGTCTTAGAGAATATGAATGTATACCAGTAAAAATATCGTTTATCATAACACTTTATTAACATATTTACCTAAAATCCTGCATTCCAAATAATGCTCCAAATTGACTTATAAAAGGACTAATCTTCATTTTTAACCGCAACAATTTTCCAAGACCTTTCTCAACTACCTGTATATAAAAAAAATTTTGTTCAAACAATCCTATCGAAAAAAATATTGAAATAAGTACGTACTTGTGGAAATGACAACAAACGTAAAGTATGACCAGTCGGAGCTGTATCGAAAACTACTACGGAAAAATTCATTGCTTTAACTAATCTAAAAAAATTTACAAAAATTAATTTAATGTTCAGTAATGCTATATTAAGAATTACTTCATTACTTCCGCGTAACTCATAGCCTCGTCAATACCAGGCAAAGCACCAACGATTTCACTAAGTACCCCTAAGGTTTGTTTAAATAACATTTTTGTTTATACTATTTCATTATTTTGCCTATACTTATTTTTGGATCTGAATTACCTTTACTTAATTTGAAAGCTTCACTTTCTCCTTCAAAATATTCTTCAGGCAGCTCACCTAAACCTGCATTTGGATCAACTTCCATAGCGAAAAGATTATCAACCCCATTCACCTATCAATAAATCAATTTAAACTAAAATTATAAGTTTTCGTTCATAATAATTCAATATAATTTATTACCTTTGTTGGAATTTTCGTGAATTTTTGATTAAATGCATCAGATATATTGTGAGCTGGGTCTGTTGATATTATTAAGACCGATTCGCGAACTTTAGCCAATTGAACTGCCTATAATTAAATTACGTATAAAACTTTTTTTCAACGTTTGTTAAAGAAATTCGTTTATACCAAACTGCATGAACAAGTAGTTTTACCAACCCCACCTTTGTAGATATAAAACAATTGCCGTCAAAAAAATAAAACAATATATTGAAATTTTATTGAAACTATTACCTTTCCCACCAACGAAAACCCACTTTAATGATTTTTGTTCTACTATGTTCTTTAAACTTGGATCCAGCGTTTCAAATTCTTCACCCATTTTTACCAGGAAATAATGATTTTGAACTCTGGCAAAGAAGTAATATTTTTAATACTATTTCTCTTTTCGAATTCAATTTTTATAAAATTGAATTCGTATTTTCCGGAGCACAAGTTTTTATTTACACCTAAATTTGGATCTTTAAATTTCCAAGCGTTATAAATTATGAATTATATGTTTTTATTTGTGAAAATTTTTGAACCATGGAGCAATGTTAATTATTAAAATAAATTCAGATACAATCTAGAAAATAATTTTCTTTATTTTGTTTATAACCAAAGTATTTTCCCTTTGAAAATGTCATATACATACGTCATTTAAAGGTTACGGTTTGCTGACTAACATTTTTTATTACATTTGACATTTTATATAGAGTTGTGTATTATTTGACGTTTTCTTTACAGCTAGTCGGAGGCTTTATAACCAGAATAGAGCGTCGAAGCCTGGCGCAATTGTTTAAATTCGGTGCGGTATATAGAAATTGTATAGCGCGGCATAATTTGGAATAAACGTTAAATAATGAAAATAATTTATTACCTCCAATACCGCAATCTTGATATTATAAATTCTAATATTGCAGTCGAGAATTAATTTTCCATATAAGTACTTTTTTTGTTCAAATGTTAATTTAATGCAATAAAAGCAATATGTCAATTTAATGTAATAAAAGACATTTCAAATATTACAATTAAATGCCAAAAGAACTGCAAAAACAACAATCCATCTATTTATTGTTAATCAAAAATAATATTTTCATCTACTAGAAAGAAGAAACGTAATTGCATAGATCACCTATACAATTACGTTTTGCATTTGTTTAAACTTATGTCATTGTTTAAATTTATGTCATTGTGATTTGTTCGTGCTGATCGGGAGTATTTTGAACATATAAATTGATCCAAAATAATAAAAACTTTTTTGAAAAACAGCAAACGGTTTTGTCAAAGTAAAAAAAATTAAGACCGCTTTTAAATCGTATTTAAATCCAAAATAAATCAAACGGCACATCAGAAAGAAGGATCAAAATACAATCTAGAAAGTATTTTTATTATTGGCATAGTTCATTAGTGTTTTGACCCTTGGTGCAGCAGAAACTTTGCAACTTTTTAATTAATTGATTTGAAAAAAATTAAAAAGTGTTTGGTGCTGTAGGGCCTTAGTTTGTTTAATTTGAAAATCCAAAAATAACAGTCAAAATATTATTGATAAAAGGTAAAAACACACTGACTGCTTTTTTGAAAGCACTTCAATATGCCTTCAGCTTCCAATTAGTTGCATCATTAATGAATAAAATTTAGTTCTAAAATATTTAATATCAGTTTATATTCCTAAATTTAATATTGTAAACCAAAATATAAAACACTTTAATTAACAGAATTATTTTCAATTTTAAACTATATTAACGTTATTTTTTTCTTTTCTTGTTTTCTCCTTATAAAAGAGTTCGTTCGTTATTATCATTATTACAAATTTAATTAATTTTCTTAAATTGAAACTTTTCTCGACTTATTAATTTTATTTTCAAGTTTTTTTCCACATATCAATACATTTTAAAATGAAATTGAAACTATGTTGAAGCGAAAGAAGGTTACAACGTGAGAAAAGTTGAAGAAGGGAAATGAGACTTTACACTTATATGAGAAGGAGGCTTCTCAAATTTCATTTATTATTATTAATTACAGGGTACGGAATTTATTCATACTTAATATTTGGTGTCTAGCATAGAAAATAAATTTAGTGTGGCAATGCTGATTCAGTGGTAGATTAGTATATGACTGCGTCAGATTACCATGGCTTTTAATGACATTTGGAAGCTGATATCACAATCAAAATTTTCTTCCATTATAAAATATAAATACAAAATAAGGACTTTCAACTTATACGAAGAAAGTAAATATACCAATAATGGCTCCAACCATTATAAATGGTGCTAATAATGCTGATAAAAGAGCACCGAAACCAGTGGAAAAGCGGTAAGGATAAGAAAATCAAAAATTTTACACAATATAACTATTTATATTTCAGTTCGGAACTCATATGCCGCGTTAAGTACAGTAACACATTACCAGATATACCGTTTGATTTGAAATTTTTAATGTATCCTTTTGAAAACGATCGCTTCATTCAATATAATCCAACCTCATTAGAACGAAATTATAAATATGAAGTCTTAACTGAACATGATTTGGGAGTCACTATTGATTTAATTAACCGTGATTTATATCAGGCAGATCCATATGCTCAACTTGACCCTGATGATGAAAAGTTATTAGAAGAAGATGTTCATACACCACAAGATTCAAATAGATCAAGGCAGCATTCGAGGAGCGTTTCTTGGTTAAGAAAATCTGAATATATTTCAACCGAACAAACAAGATTTCAACCTCAAAATTTGGAAACAATTGAAGCTAAAGTAGGTTATAACGTAAAGAAAAGTTTGAGAGAAGAGACTTTATACTTAGATCGTGATGCTCAAATTAAGGCTATAGAGGTAAATAAAAAAAATTTGGAAAAGTCATATTATACGCGTATAATTTTATACTTGTTTTCAGAAAACTTTTGAAGATTCTAAAAAAGACATAGTGAGACATTACAGCAAACCCAATGTGGTTCCAGTAGAAGTATTGCCTATTTATCCAGATTTTTCAAATTGGAAATATCCATGTGCCCAAGTTATATTTGACAGTGACCCCGCTCCAATTGGTAAAAATGTGCCAGCACAAATTGAAGAAATGTCACAAGCTATGATAAGAGGTGTCATGGACGAAAGTGGTGAACAATTTGTCGCCTATTTCTTACCAACGGAAGAAACTTTGGAAAAACGAAGAACTGATCTTATAAATCAAGTTCTGTACGAAGATGATGAAGAATATGAATACAAAATAGCACGAGAATATAATTGGAATGTTAAAAACAAGGCTTCTAAGGGTTACGAAGAAAATTACTTTTTTGTCGTTCGTCAAGACGGTGTATTTTACAACGAATTGGAGACTCGGGTGAGACTTAGTAAGCGCAGAGTTAAAGCAGGACAGCAGCCAAGTAATACTAAATTAGTAGTTAAACATCGTCCGCTGGATGCTAATGAACACAAAATGCAAAGATATAGAGAAAAGCAACTTGAGCCACCAGGAGAGGAAGATGAAGAAGAAGAAGACGAAGATATGGAAATTGACGAAGAACCACAAGAAATGCATGGAGATGAAGCAAATGTGGATACTGATGCAAAATTCGAAGATGAAAATCAAAATGAAAATAGCGACGAGCAAAGCGATAACGAAAATCAAAAACAAAGGGACAGAAAATCACGTTCACGTTCAAAACATTCTCGTAGATCCGAATCCAAAGCTCGTTCTTCAAGGAGTAGATCAGGTTCAGAATCTGATGCTTCTGGTTCTGTTTCGGATAAATCAAGATCAAGAAGTCGATCACATAACAAAAGTAGTCCACGGTCAAGGTCAGCATCGGGAGACTCGCATTCGTCACAATCAGCGGCCGAAAGCAAGTCTCCTAAAAGTAAAAATGGATCCCCGGCGAGAGTGTCGAAAAGCAAGTCCAGGTCAAAAAGCAGGGCATCTAGATCAAGATCTAGGTCTAGCTCTGCTTCATCTCGGTCTTCAGGTAGTGGCAGTCGAGATACAGATAAAAGCGGTACTAGTTCTAAGGCGTCCTCGAGAAGATCATCCAAAAGTGGTAGTGAGTCTCCAAAAAGTGGAAGTGATTCACCAAAATCTCGAAGTGGTTCATCAAGAAGCAGAAGCGGGTCTCCAAAAAGTGGCAGTGGATCCCCTGGAAGTTCACCAAAAAGTACAAGTAAATCACCTAGAAGCAGAAGCGGCTCACATGACAGCCAAAGCGGAAGTGGTTCAGATGATGAGTAATATCTGATATGAGTAACCATCAAATTAGTTTGAGATAATTGTAATGAATTCTTAAATATAGTGTCTAAAACAATAAATGTGTTTTTGCAACATAAAATAAAAACTCATTACTAGCATTTTGTAGAAATATTACGATCTTCCTTCTAATATATAAAATTGATATGTTTATACTATTGCTATGTATAAAACAGCAAGTAATAAATAAGTCACTCACTTATTTTAGTAAAACATTGACATTACAAAAAATCTAATGCCATATTTATCTATCAGGCCACCAAGCTCAGAGAGCAAATCAAAAATAAATTCCAAATTTATGTATATGGAATTTAAATGGAAGAGGTGTCGGAAATTATTTATGTGAAGGAAATTGATCAATATTTTTAGCTCTACTGATTCTACATATTTTTTTAAATTTCAAAAAAATCGGTTGGTAAATTCCATCTGAAAAATGCATTTAAAAAAATATTGCAATTTTTAGCCCAGGCAAGTTTCTTGTCTTCCAAATGGAAGGGTACTGAATTACAGAGTAAAGTTTATGATTTTGGGTGATTTTAATTTGCCTGGTCTTGAGTGGGTTTCCTCTGATGCTAATGAATTTTATGTGGCTTCTAATATCCCGTTGGGTTTTGAATCGGAGTTTCTCGACGATATTGGTTCGTGTGACTTGTGGCAAATTAGCGGTGTTCATAATTGGTTTGGTAGACAGCTGGATTTTGTTTTTTGTTATGATCCTGGTAGTTTTGCTGTGTCTTCTTGTGGCCAGTTTATTTGTCGTCCGGAAGATTACCTTCCGCCTGTCTCTATTATGTTTTTTGTCGGCCAGGTTTTGCCAGGTTTTTCTCAGCCTATAATGGCTTTAGGTCTCTTTGTAGTGATTTGTAAAGTACTTAGCTTAATGATGTTGGGCGTAGTATGTTTGGCGATCCGCGAAAGTTTTTTGATTTTATTGATTCTAAGAATAGGTCTGATGGTTATCCATCCTCGCTCAAATTTTCTGGTAGATCTTCTAGTGATCCTCTGGTTATTTCAAATTTGTTTGCCTGCCACTTTTCGAGTGTTTTTTCTCCAGTTGATGTTGTGGTTGGTCTATCTCCGGATTTTACTGCATTTGTGAATATTGTTGGTGCGCTGTTGATAATTTTGTTCTTGATAGTATTGTTCTAGGTCCTAATTGTGTTCTGCGAGCCATGGAGAGGATGGATGGTGGCTGACCTCCTAGTTCTGATGGGATTCCGTTCTGCTTTTCCTTAGGCTTGAAAGGAGTCGTACGTTGTTCCGCTTCATAAGAAAGGGTTCGTTCTTCGGTTAGTAATTATAGGCCTTTCTCTTTTCTTAGGTGGGTTTTTCTCTTCGCAGCTTGATGTGGGTCTACTCCTATTTGTCTTGCAGAATTTATCAGGTTTCTTTCCGTTCTGCTCTGTCTAATGTCTACTATGCCCGGTAGCGTATTCCGCAGGGTAGCTATTCGGGTCCCTTTTACTTTTTTAGTTGCGACTAAGGACGCTTTTAGTTCTGTTGTGGTTTCCGCGCTTTATAGTTTTGCAGATGGCTATGATTATTGCCTTGACGGGGTGGTATTGGGGAGGGTGAGCACAAATTTTTGCGTTTTGTTTTTAGGGGTTTGGGCTGGTCTGATCCTTTTAAGTTGCCGTCGTATGAGGCTATGTTGATCGATTTGCAATCCTTGAGGGCACGTAGGGTTGTCGCTGACATAGTGCTTATCCATCAGCTCGTATCAGGAACTATTGTGGCTCTTTCTTTGTTAGGGCAGGTTTCTATTAGGGATAACATAAGGAATCTTAGGTATGCAGAGTTGTACAATGTTCGCTGTCACTCTACACATTATGGTAGGAATGAACCGGTCACTAGAATGTCACGTTCTGTTAATTCTAATTCTTTGGTATTTGATTCTGCTATTAGTAAAGGTACCCTTAGATCTAGACTTTGGTCTAATTTAAATTTGTAGTAATATTTTCGTTTCATCTTGCTTTTGTCTTTCTCTCTCGTTTTTGTTTATCTATATTATCTACATATGTATGTATATTTACTATTATATTGCCTGGTGGTCGGTTTTTTTTTATTAATCGTTATGGGTTTTTGTTATTATTATTTTTAAGTTGTGCTCGTCATTTTAAGTTGTTTTACTTGCGCTTTTGTTCTTCCCTCTTTTTTCCTACATATTTTTGATATGTCAAGTTTCAAAATATGTAATTTAAATATATTTATTAATAGATATACTTAAACTACATTCCATTAGTTTTCGTTTGCATTTTCCTTCCAAATTCTTAAAATATTTGATTTTTATTTAGAAATAGATGGTAATAAGAGTTGTGTAGGCAAGAAAGAAACAAAATATTGTAAACGAACGAGTGTATCAAAAACATTGAACTGAAATAAAATTAAATGAAGCTATCAATAATGTAAAAGTCGCCGTGTAAACGCAGCACGTTTTAGAACCGCAATATGTCTCATAAAATAAAATATAAAAGAAAAATATGGTTATTTGCAGGAAATTTAGAAACATCGAAATATTCGATTATATGAATAGATAAAAAAAAAAATCTGAAAAATACCACATGGGAATGTAAACATGTGATTTGTTTTGACAGCTGAAGGTCATCATAATATTTTTACAATATTTAAAGCGGTTTATATATTTAAATTCTTCATTTAATAAACACAAGTAATTAAATAAATCATTCCTAATATCACAAATATTTGAATGTGGTTTTAATAAAACAATGTTGAGAAAATTTTTACCGAAAGGATTTCTTAGAAAATTTTCAACAGGTGTCATTGTTGTTGGTGGAGGTGTACTCGCATACGATGGGTAAGTTTTTTAGTTAATGATTAAGTGACGATTTCATTATTGTGTATTGATTAATATAACGTTCAAATTTGGTATGATGAATTATCTAATACCTGGATATTCTAAAACTATTTACCGTGGACACTTAATGTTATATTTGCAACCAATTGAACTAATGTTTTGTGTGGATTCTTTTCTGATAGGGCATAAGTTCCCATCTATATTTAAAATAAATAAATAAGTACGATTCCCCTCTGTTGGGTTAAATAGGAAATGATCCCCACTGTTTGGTTGAATAAGTACGATTCCCCACAATAGATTGAAAAATTTCGAAAAGATCCTTTTTTAAAAAAATTAAAACCAAGTTTAAATAGTTTTATTAAGATTAAATAATTCCGTAAGCGTAAACTTTGTCAAAATAACGTTAACTTAAATCACATTAACACGTTCGCGGACGCGAATGCTATAGCATTCATTTTCATAGTGATGCAAAATGACGTGAATGCTATAGCATTCAAATTTTTAAGCCAATTTTTCATTTAATTCATGTCACTAGTTGAAAAATTTTATCTATATCGTAGTGGATGTTATAATACATGTCTAATCAGATTTTAAATTTTACAACCAGTTTAAAAAATAATTGTCTGTATATTTTTGCAGCTGCCTAAAATTTTTAGCGTCCACGAGCGTGTTAACAAAAAATCAAGATTTCTTCAAACATGAAAATTTTAGTAGAACCTTCTTAAAATCCTCACAAGCACATATACATAGTTATAATTTAAGTTTTATTTTTCAAAGTAGAGGCTCTGATTTTAATTTGATTGAAATCTTGTTAAATGACATGTTTTGCATCGCTTAAGCTTTAACATAAAACTAATATTGTATAGTGTTAACAACACCAGGGGAGCATTTCATATATAATAATGGAAAGATTTTTTATGTTTGAGTTTTTAGCAAAATATTTGTACCACTATTAATTATATAAATAGGATCTTATCCACATAAATAAATTTACTAAAAGTAGACTATATATAAATTTCAGATATGCAAATCAATTCCTTTATACTGGCGCATCTGTAAGGTAGGTTACAGAAATATAAACTAAATAAAAAATAAATACGATAAATATTTGTAGATTTCTTAGGTCGTGCAAGGTAGCTCTTGCAATATCAAAAGGTATGGAAAATCATATAATTTTTGAAAAAATTATATTAAGCATTAATTTTTTTGTTTCTAGATTACTATTTAGCATTACATAAAGGGGACAAAGGTGATACGGAAGATTTCTTAAAAGAAGTTCATTTAAAGAGTGCTAATAGAATTTTGGAAGCTTGTTTAAATAACGGGGGTTTGTACATAAAAATAGGTCAAGGAGTTTCGGCAATAAATCACATTCTACCTATGGAGTACACAAAGGTGAAATATACTCTTCAATTAAGTGCTACATAAGAGCTACCAATTATTAAATTTTACTTTTCTTTTTATTTAAAGACATTAAGTAAATTACATGACAAGTGTCTACCCTCTAGCAAAGAAAACATTCAAAAAGTTTTTCTTAAAGACTTCGGAGACGTACCTGAAAACATTTTTGAAGAATTTGATTATAAACCCGTGGCTGCAGCTAGTCTTGCACAAGTAAATTATTTCCTTTTTTAAATATATTTTATGTAAAATATTTTTAGGTTTTTAAAGGTAAATTAAAGTCAGGGGAACAGGTTGCCGTTAAGGTAATGCTTATCTTTTCATGACAGATAGTCATAATAAAACTGGATTTTTAATTAGGTTCAGTACAACAATTTAGATAAGAGATTTCCAAGTGATGTCGGAACTTTAATTTTTCTTCAAAACGTCATTGAAGTATTTTTCAAAAATTATAATTTTGGTTGGATTTTAAAAGATTTAAGAGCCAATTTAGAGAAAGTTAGTAATATTTAACATGTAATTACCACAAAATTTTTATAAATTTAATAATTATAATTTCTTTTGTTTATTAGGAATTAGATTTTTGTAACGAAGGTGCTAACGCAGAACGTTGTTGGAAAGATTTAAGTCGTTTCAAAAACGTATATGTACCAAAAATTTTTTGGAGTTATACAAAAAAGGTCGGTAGCTTTTATTTTGTTCTTGTAGAAATTTAAATAAATTCTTTTTGTAGAGGGTTCTTACAATGGAGTGGATAGATGGCTTTAAAATAACTGATATAGCATCATTGAAAAAAAATAATATTGATCTTAAATATTTAGATAAAAAATTATTTCATATATTTTCTGAACAAATATTTAATTCAGGATTTGTGCACGCTGATCCCCATGCAGGGAACCGTAATATTTTCACTATATTCCAAAATTTTAATATCACATAGAAACTTTCCAGTTTTTATCCGATCTAAAAAGCCAGGAGATTTTGATCTTGTTATATTGGATCATGGTCTTTATGAATATTTACCAGAAAAATTTCGTAAATCATTGTGTCAATTTTGGGAAGCAGCCGTCTTAAGAGATGAAAACACAATGTCTCATTCCGCAAAAGAGCTTAATATAAAGTGTAAATTGATAATATTAGAATAATTGAGTTTTAAATAATTTTTTTTTAAGATTACAAAAACTTTGCTGAGGTTTTATTTCAAACACCATATGAAAACAAAGGCGCTAATATTAAAACTAAATTGACTGACGAAGATATAAAATATATGCAAGAAATTGCCAAAAATAATTTTGATAAAATTATGGAAACTTTAAAAGAAATGCCAAGGAACATGCTTTTTGTAGTCAGGTCTAATACTAAATTATAAATCGTTTTAAGTTTTTCATTATTTTTTTTTTTAGAAATTTAAATACTATACGAGCGATTAGTAGAGAGCACGGGGATCCGATAGACCGACCCAGAATAATGGCGCGATATGCTCAAAAATGCTTATGGAACAGATATTCACTTTTTGGTTTTTTTAAGTGGGTTTGTAGACGAGCAAAATTTGAGTTTCAGATAATGTGAGAATCAAAGAATTTTTTCACTGAAATTATTTTTTAAAATTTCATTTTAATTCTGAATTTTAGGAAAGATAATCTAAAATTGGCTGTGCATTTATTGTATTTAGATACTTTACATATGTTAGGAAGATCTACAAAAAATTCAAAGGAGATTTTGCAAATAGGAGAAAAATACAGACAAGTTTAAGCTGTTTTGTCTTTCAGCATGATTTTGGGGTTGAATTTTATAACTATAATTTAATTAAATTTAAGTCTAACTGAACCGAGAATATTTAAAACTAAAATTTGCGCATTGCTCGTTTCTATGTAATTTTTTTTCTGCTATACATATCCCTTTGTACTTTAAATGAAAAAATACCCAGAATAATATTGCTTATCTAAAACGACTTCAAGTGAATTATTGAAAAATTAAATACTCACGTTAGGTAAACAATTGGCAAAAAAACTAAATATGCGCTATGCAATATATGTTCATTTTAATTCCTGCAAAACAAATAATTTGTTTAAAAGAAGCGATTTCCTCTCAAATGCAGGAATTTGCTTGTGTTGAAATTATTACTTCCGTTATATTAAATTCAGCCCCTAAAAGAGGTATCTAGGCAAATAAAATTAATGGAATAATAAAATACACTTATCTGAATTATAACAAGCAATTTTTATATCTGAATTGTAATAAAAGATTTAACACATTTCTATTAGTTACATCTATTAGTAATCATTTCTTTTAGTAATCACATGATGTTACAAAAATAAGTGTTGTCTTCAATTTTTGGTATCTCCCCCTTTAATTCCTTTGATTTTAATTCCAAAAATGTATTTTCATTTTTCTTTTCCAACCACTCCGGCAACTTTTTATTCCAATCCTGTGGGGGAGACGTTCGCTTTTTCCAAATGTCATTTGCGTAATGTGACTGCAGTCTTACAGCTCTTCTTGCCGATTCACTTTCTGTTACAGCTTTTCCTGCTTGTATATCAGTACCGTCCGAGTTTTCATACTTTAGACAATTTTCGTAGTCTTTTTTCCATTGGGAACAGTCAATTGATTCCCCATGAATGAAATATTGATGAAATCGTCCTTTGATGCTTGTGCACTCTTCATATTCCTACAATATTCGAATATGTGTAATTATACAGACTAATTCATATATGTATGTATTATATTTATTGTTATGTAGATACGCGTACTGGTAAAAAATTAAATAAAAAATTTGATGCAAAATAAGTTATGAACTGGAGCCCTACTATTTAATTCGAATTTCGCGAAATGATTTCCGTATTTGGAAAAAATGGTAAGGTAGCACCAATCGACTTACATGAAACATCACTTTCATTATATATGTATATACACAGTAAGGTCCTTTAAAAGCGAAATACATCCTATACCAATGAAAGCTCTTATAAACGCAAATGTTTTTACAACTAAGTGTATTGTAAATAAAGCCAAATTGAATTGAAATGTCAAAATTGCAAATAATTTTTCATAATAAAAGGAATAAACTTTTGTCTAAATAAAGGAGCTTTACTTAATTTTGAAATAACACTAAATGATTACTTGGTCAATATATATTTATAACTCTGACCGAAATATTTTTGTTTACATCAAGGTACGTACATTATTCATAATGTGTATAATATATAATGTATAACATGTACATATATTAGATTATGTATATATTTTAATGAAACCTTTTAGTATGCGGTGAAATAATTACGCAACAAATTTTACATTTTTTGAATGATGTTTATTAAAAATAACAATGTTGCACTTACCTACGTACCTCTTTGTAAAGAAAACAAGGTCTGATCTGAAATATAATAATTAATAAGCTGGAAATGGAAGTGTTTAGGTTAATCCTTACCGACCATCCTTCTTGTTTACGAAATTCTTCAGGTTCCATTTATTACTAAATTATTTTTTAACATAAAATTTGATATTTTGAAATTAATAAATATCTCAAAAACAAATCAAAATTTCGAAAAAAAAATTAAGTCCCGAATGTGTTCTCAATTAATTAAAAATTTAGGTTAAAAATGTTCTGAGCAATTAAGGTATAATATATATATACTTGACAGCATATCTGTCAGCTGTGATGCAAATTGAGTATTGATTGATATTAAGTGGAAAAGTCAATATTGATAAAAATATCTTAATTTGGAAAAAGTTTATCTTGTGGGAGATTTATGATGTTAAAATGGGCCTTCTATACTCTATAGCTTTCACAAGAATACAAGAATAGCTTTCTTACGGTTAAAACAAGTAAGAATTTATCTGACAGATATAAATTAAAACAATTTTTGTGTAACAGAGCTGAACAGGAAAATTTAATTTGTTTATGTGTTTAAATAATTCCGTTATTATGAAATCACACATTTTTTCGTTTTAAATTGAAAACAAAACAAAAGTGATTTTCCGCGGCAGAATGTCAGAATTCATTTAGAATCGATCGATTTAAATAGGACTGTAAGGAGTTAAGGGAAATAGCAAAACTACGGCCACGAATTTCATCACTTTCGGTAAAATAGCCTAAATTTCTTTGGTACCACTGGCGGGTTTTTTTTTGACATTATCTGTTTCCACGGAAATGTGAATCTTTCCAAAAAGTGTTCGAATAATATTTTAGGAAACCCGATTTGAAATTTTAAAAATCCTATCAAAAGAATTTTAATAAAGATTTTTCTCTCAATTTAATGAATGTTAAACATCAAAGCTAAAGTAGAAGTAAGCGACAGGCATGCTACCAAAGTTTTCGAAGAAGTAGAAAAAAATTAAGAGCTTCGCATTGCAGAAAAATAAACGTATCCGGAAGTAACCAAGAGTTTAATGCAAGCATTTGACATTAAATGTAAAATACTAAATATAGTAAAGTAACATACTGAAAATAGAGTAATAACGTGGAAATCATGCGCCGTTGTCGTTCATCGCTTTGGTTAGGTTTTTACAATTAAAATAAAAAATCTTTTTATAACGAGCTTATTCATATTATTTTTATAATAATATATTTCTGTTTCAAATTTCTTTCATATGTTATAAATTTATTTTAAGAAATCTGTTTATTTTCTGTAGTCTCATTTGAAAGTTCATTTATTTTACTAAAATGGTGGATTGTCAAAACTACATGTGTTAATGAAAAATTAAAAATTTTTTGGATAAAGATTCTTCTTTAATTAAGAACATTACAGAGAGAAAAAAATAACATTTGCCAGTCTAACACCTAAATGTATGCCTTATCAATTATTTGTATTGAAATAACAACACAAGTGCGATTCAAAGCTTTCAATTTGTAGCAAAAGTTTATCATTGTTGCATTTCAAGAATCGCCAACTCACAAATCCCTATTTATTATTAAATTTACATTGACATTGACACTTCGAAACGATTATTTAAATTTTTGGATAGTGTTTTGGGGCCAAAAACGTTTTTTTTTTTCTAATACATTTATGTAGCAATAAAACTTAGACTAAAACGAAACAGCACAAAAAAAACTATAAGTTCAAATTCTGAATAAGTTTCGATGGACAGCAAAAAGAATAATAGTTCGGAGTCTGGTGAGTTTTAATACAAAACAATCACAACTAATTGAATAATTCATTGAAATTCGTTAAATGCAATTTAATAAACATCACTAACAAATTATACATATCCGAATTGCAAAGTAAGGGTTTTATACTTGAAAATTTTTTTACACAGCAAACAAACATTGAAGCAAAACACATGTAACTTAGCCTGCATCTTATAAGTGCCTTATAATAATATAAAATAAAATTTTTTGAGAGATCTCGATATATTTTGATTGTTCTGGTTCATGTATGGAAATAAAATCCGTAATGACAGACTGTGTTGATACAAAACTAAAAGTCAATGAACAAGGTAAGATCAAGGACCAAAGCGATTCTGAAGATATCAATCAGCAAAATATTCATAATAAGAGAAGTGAAAAATTAAGTAAGTTCGGTGAATTTTGTTTTTTTTTTTATTATGGATTTTTTTGTTTTAGATAAACCGTGTCGTGACGGATTTTGTTACTGCTTTACAAGCGATAGTGATCAACATGTGCACAAAAAAAAGTTACGGACGAAATCTCGGAAATATTGTGTAGATAGTTCCCAAAGTTCAAAGTGTTCTGAAGAAAATACTTCTCAAACTTCTGATTTTTCAGAGATGAATCAAAATGAATTTTCAGAGTATTTGTTATCAGATCAAAAAGCTCAAAAGAAATTCAAAGATCAACGCATAAAAAGAAAAAGTAATTATGAGTTACAAGCAAAAGCCACTCTTAACAAAAATGAAAATGCCCCTTTGATTCATATTGTTCAAGAAATTTATAGAGACAGGATTATATCGGAAGTGAAAGTTAATGAAAAAGTTTTTAATAGAAAAAAAAGTTTGAAGGATAAAAGTAGCAACAAAACAAAAATTGAATATATTACTGAAAAGCCTGTAGAAGAAATAAATTGTGATTTTGAGGATAAATATGAAAGTGAGGTACGCAATCAATATAATTTGGGAAATTATCTGAAAGAAATGTCAGAAGAAAAAAATCGATCTGGACAGTTCTTAAAACGTAGAGTTTCGGAAAATTTTCAAAACAGATCAACATATTGTAATGCGCCCCCAAAGAAACCACCCAGAAGATTTTCTGAAAATATAAATCCTTCAACAAGAACTTCAAAGGTAATAACAGATTTTAAAGAAGCGGAAATGATTTTAAATAACTTTTTAAGACAATATGGACGAAACTTTGAGATAGATGATAATTATGTCGATAAATTGATTCCGTCGTTTGATAAAACACAAAGAGATCCCAAGCATGGAATACCTGAAATTATATCTGATTGTTCGTCATTTGGTAGCGAATCTGAAACAGAAAGTGGTATAGAATCAAACATCGAGTGGATTCCCCAAACGGAAAATAAACTGCTCTGTGCCCAAAATGTTGCAAAAACAAGAACAAACGATTTGCTATTAAATTCTAAATCACCTGTTCAAATCGGTTGGGCTCTACCTCCCAAACAAGATATTGACACTGTTGATGGCTCTATTAAACCACAGCGCGAAGGAGACAATTTTCATAATTTTGCCGAAAACATGGAGTCAAAGAGCACTCCCGTTAAATCGGCGGAATTTGTTAATATTAATCATTCTGAAATAAACAAACAAGCGAATGAAACACCGAAAAAGTTAGATATATCAAGCAATTCAACTATAAAAGCCAAGGAAAGAACATGTGATTTTTTGAAAAATTCTGCAAATAAATTTGTAAATTTGGTTCATAAAATAAATAGCAAAGATAAATTTCGTAACAAACTATTTCAGAAAGATGCTTCATGTCAAACCTCCAACATAAGTTTGCATGATAATTCATCAAAAAATGATACTAATGACAATAAAACAAAACCCAATCTCTTTAATCACACTAATAAAAACACTTATTTAGGTGGATTTGACTTTAATAGAAAAATAACTTCACCAAAGTCCCATCGGCGGTTATCGTTTTCGCCAAAGAAAATTATGAAAAATTTTTCCCAAAAGTCTTCGAATAATATTTTAGAGAACCGCAAGGATTTGGAATTTTATAAATCTTATCAAAAGGATTATAATGAAGATTTTTCTCTCAATTTAATGAATGATATATTGCTAAACATTAAAGCTAAACTAGAAGCAAGCGACAGGCATGCTACCAAAGTTTTCGAAGAAGTAGAAAAAAATGAAAAATTAAGAGCTTTGCATTGCAAAAAAGTAAACGTATCTGGAAGTTCCCAAGAGTTTAATGCAAATAATTATGGAAAAATAACTTTAGAAAATGTTGAGGTTCATAATAGCTATGGATGCTCTAATAATTTAGACCATATTAAGGACATATATTCAGAAATTGAAGAAGAAAAAATAATTTTCAGTGGTAGCCCATCTGTTAGAAGTTTAGATGAAATTTCGCATTTTTACGTAAATAATGATCCCAATTCAGAATATGCTGAAGTCAAAAAAATAAAAGTAAAATCATGTAGAAGTTCTGATTTGGAAAACAATTATCCAATACTTTCACCGAAAGCAAGCATTCCAGAAAACAAGCTTACCTATGCGGATATTGAAATAAATCCGGATTATCTAAACAAAAGTTGTGATGTAGTCAAGTATGGCAAATGTAAATTGACACTAAAAGAAAATGAAAAGTGTTCTGAAGGCATGAATAACGCTGTCGACATGGAAGATATAAGCCAAATACCTGTCACTGAGCTGTGTGTACCAAAAACAAACAGCCCTGAATGCAGTTCAAATTTTTCAAGAAATGCTATAAATTCTGTAAGGATATTTGAAAGTAGCGTTGTAGAAAATCAAACGAGACCAGTAAATTTTTCTCACTAAGAATCATTTATTATTAATAAATTTAAATTTTTTTAGGTTAAAGAACTTGTAGATTATTTTGAACATTCTTTGTGTTGCAACGCCACATGCAATCCGAGCAAATTAGCTTCTTATGAATCTCCAAATGGCAGTACAAATTTCGAAACAGAAATATCAGATGCCTTTCAAGAGGTATAATTATAATTTTTTAGCTTATTTTTTTTATGTGGTCCAAACAAATTCAAAAATCTGACTTTGTTTTTTAAAATACCTGTGATGTAAATATAATTTTTTGATATTTACAACTTAATAAAAAAGAAATTTATTAAGTATACTATTTTTTTTTTGTATAAAAGCGAATATAAGCGTTTAATATTACAAATATTTGATTTTAAATTAATTTTTAGTTAGATTCAGTTGCCTGTACTTCAGAAAATATTTATTATGAGATTGTAGATCAAAAGGAAAAAGGTCAAAGTTGTCTTTTAGCAGAAGAGAAATCAAAGCGAGATTCTGAACTTGGAAAAAATAGTTCTTTTACAAGTGCATCATTTGACTATAGGATGAATAAGTCATTCGAAGGAAAAAAATACAGTATTTTAAAACGGAAATTCAGAAAATCTATTAGCAAGGGAAAGTCACTTTTTAAAAACAAATTTCAAAATTATTCCCCTAACGACACGGTAAATTCATACGACCCATGGGAACAGTCAAATTTAGGTATTACTAAATTGTTTGCTGAAGATGACGACGAATCTTTGCAAAAGCAATTGGAAAAAGCTGTTTTTATATGTAGAAAGATACCGTTGCTGCAAAACACCATTGAAGCAGTAGAAGCTGAACGGTTGCTTTTATATTCTGCCTTAAAAATTGAGAATCTGAAAAATGCCGTTTCTGATAAAACTGCCGTAAACGAAAAACCATCGACTGATTATGAATCTTGGATTTGTATTAAAGATTTTGAATTACCAATAAAAAGTGATATTGATTTTATTGATTTTTTTAACTTTTTTTATGTCGGTGTATTTTCGAACGGGCATAAAATTATATCAACGAATTACGCTGAGAAACGTGACAAATTGATAATTTTTCGAAATTGTGGTGTTAACTTTGAGAATATCAATTGCGATACAAAAATTGTATGTGACATATATGTTTTAAGGCTGAGAAAAGTTTTGAGCACAAAACTTACAAAGGAACAAGTCAAGGCAAAAATGGTAATAAGCGGCAATGATTCGCTCTAATATAAGCTTTTGAATACTACAGATTCTTATTTCTTATTTTATTAGGAGGAAATTAATGGCTTCTCCGATTCTGATGAGCAACTTTTATCACGTTTTAAATTCCAAGGATCATTTCATTTCTTCCCACATAATTTTACTCCATTAAAAGTTAAGTATTCCAATGACAAGGAACTGGAAAGTTTGAATAAATTTTGTTTACATTCAATAAGCACTGTGAATCTTCCAACAGAGACTGAGTCAGATCATTCCGTAATACTTAAATTCGTTAATGTTACTGCTGAACTGGAATTTTTTTTTAATAAATTTATACTTGAGGGGTTTCTAAATGTTCGTAGAATAACATCGGAGCACGATTGGAATAAATGCTGGTGTAAAGTAGATAATTTCAATTTTTTATATTGGGATTATCCTCAGGATTGTAATAATAAGCCACCTATGTTTATTTGTAATATGATCGAGTGTGTAAATGAAAAAATTGAAATTGCTTCCCAAGAAATATGCCCGAGACCGAAATCTTTTAGTATTAAATTAAAAAATGATTCTAATCTTACCAGAAATATTTATTTTTCAGCCGATAATCAAAATGATTTAAATTATTGGTTGAATGGCTTAAATAAAATTTTAACTTTTAAAAATAAATGGATGTAAAGTTTGAAAATTTAATTAATTATTATAGCAATATTTTTTATAATAAATTTATACCATCTAATTAATTAAAACTAACTACAATAATTTTAGGTGTAGTGTCATATGTTGAAGGAAGAGCCAATAATTTTAAAGTAAACAGAATCTCTTCATATTGTTATTGCTTTTAATGTTTATTTTGTGTTTAAACTATTTGAATTTAATTGTTCTTACTTTATTTTTTATTAAGATTTTCTTTAAGGCTCAAATTACTTCCTGATATATTTGATTTATTTTTTATTAAAGTAGATATTTTTATTAGATAGCTTAAACAATTTCCCAAAAATTCTTAGTTGTTACACTAGAAAATTGTATTAGAATTTAGAGTATTCGAGGTTATTCCAATATATTTAGTATAACAATATGTTAAAAATTTGTTAAAATTTAACAATAATGTTAAAATTAACTTGATATTTTTTGTTTGCATAAATAATAATACATAATAATAATTTGATTAATAAGGAATTTGGTTACTTGCGTGAGCTTTTGATAATTAGAATAAACAAATGTTTTGTTTCGTAGTATATTGGTATTATAATTTATAAATATAACACTTATATTTGAAAAGAAATCTGTTTGAATAAGCCAAATATCAACGCATTTGTAATCTCTTTTTTGTAATTTAAGTCTAGATCGAAAGAAATTTGTAATTATTTTTTAATATAGAAGTAATCCATTCCAATTTATGTTAACTATTGTGCAACTTGTAACCATGAATTATACAAACTTTTAGTTTAATGAGATATTTTTGAGTACAAAGAAATTCATTTTGTTTGGGAATAAAGTTACATGAACTTTAGTTTCTAAATAATTCAATTACAGCAATAATATCTTTTGAAATGTTTTGGAATATTTGGAATGTTTTTAAGTTTTATTTTTTTTTATTTAATTTTATTTCTCTAATAAAAAATTTTTTTACAAAAAAAAAAAGTAAATACCTGTTTTTTATTTAAAGTTAAAATCATATTTATTTTTACTTAAAATAATTTGCACTACAATTTAATATAATATATTTTGATATTTTAGTGATATTTTAATTGTTATTATTTATAACATTTTGTATTCCAATTAATACATTTATATAATGATAACATAAATTTCTTTATATAACTTTTCCATTCACAGAGATTATTATGCTGATGCATATTTGATTATTAACAATACCAATAAAATATTAAAACTAAAGCATAGATAAAATTAGAATAAAAAATAAAATTAATTTTCTATTTTAGTAAGAGTAAACGTCACACATTTCATTTTTTTTATTTAATATGTATATATATTAATTATATTATATTTGCCTACATTTCTTGCATCTACTGATTATAAATTTTTGTCTTTTTCCTTAAAGTCATGATACACTATAATGAAGTATGCAGTTGATCGGCTGGTACCAATTACACACTTTTTGTATTTACTAAAAGCAAAAAAGAAGTTAATAAAAGATCTGTATTTGAATATAATAATGAAACTGTTAAATGATCTCATTTGGTTGGGAAGCAAATTGGTTAAAATTTGTGATCCAGTGGTGTAGAAAATAGTATGTACATAATAGTTATACATACAATAATTCTTATACATACAATAGTATGTTATAAGTATAGTGCCAAATTATACATATATTATTTCATTTTGGGATTAATCCAGTTATAGATTTTTCAGTTCAGGATTAATTCAGTTGTAAAATCACGATTTTTTTAAGTTGATACAATTCAAATAAAGCTAAAACTTACATGTAAATAAGTTGACGGATGCTTGTATTAACATTTGAAAACATTTTTGATTTGTGTGTCAAATTTTAGACTAGAACATATTTCCAAACAGTATTTGGCCCAATCTCAGCAACATATAATGCTGACCCATTTTTACAGACGGTTATTGAATGAGGATTTGAAAATTCACCCCAATGGTCGATAACAGTCTCAGCTCTCGGATCTAAAGTAAAACCTCTAACTGGAAATATTGGTGATGTTGGTCCATTTATTGCATATACTATGTCACCTAATGTTACATAATCAAATTTATTTTTGTAAATGAAAGGAGTTAAAAAAAATTCAAAATATAATGGGTACTTACCATAAGCAGCTACATCAAAAACTCTTCCTAAATCTGGTTCCTGTATTGTTGCGGCAGGTTGTCCTTCTCCAAATGAAGATTTAAGACCAGCCCTTAAAATAAATTAGTTTTTTCATAAATTATATAGAATATAGAAAAGAATATATTAAATAACTTACTTTGGGCATACAACTCTCATATTCTCTCTATCAGCAATACATAATAAATCAAGATGTTCAAGTAGTGTAATCCCATGTGGTACTTGCAACGACATGAATTCTATTAAACAGTACAAAATTTGAAATATTACATTAATTTGTTATTTCATATTTTACATATAATTATATGTATGTTTTATGATTTTAAGGGAGAATATTTTAAGAAATATTTGGTATAGTTTTTACTAAATTAAATTTAATTTTTTCTGCTGTTAATTTTAAAAAAATTAGAACAATATTCAGAATGTATCTATTAATTTAAAATTATTAGTTGAATATTGATAGAAATCGTTTTTAAATCTGTAATGTATAAAGTTTAACCAATTTTACCTGGTGGTTGTGGAATTGTTCTTAATAACCGTCCAGCGGCATTGTACTTTAGAATTCTTTGATTGCAATAACCATCAGATACAAAAAACTGGAAAAAATATTTTAATTGTTTTGCTTTTAACAATACAATTCCTTATTTAAAAATGTGTTTTTAGTAATTCGTATATGTACCTCTCCCGTTGTAGCGACTGCAATGGCAGTTGGTTTACAAAAATGATGTGTGGAAGACCCAGGTTGAAATAATTTTCCTAAAGTTATTACTGGTGTTCTTTCAAATGCCTTAAACTAAAAGAAAATATTAATTTAATATATGCATGTATGTACAAATGTAAACATAAACTACATTATTTAAAGAACTTCCAATAAATATTTAATAATAATTAAGTACAGTGTACACGTACCATAATTGTTGAAATATAGAAAGTAGGATAATAAAGTTTATTCTTGTAAATATAACTAAACTACAATATTTTAAAACTATTTTTAAATAAGTACAGTCATATTTGTAGTTTTCAAATATATGCAAAGATGTCCACTAGTTGTTATATTTAAAATAAATCTAAAATTTTTTTGTCAAAAATTTTATATTTTTATTAAAGTATCGTATGTTTTTCAGTTTAGCTCGATCAAATAAGTCATTATCCGAGGATATTAACTAGAAGTTACTAAATTAATATTTAAACAAGAATATGTAGAGTTGACCGTGTCAAGTTTGTGATACCAAATAATAATGAATTATTTTAAGAGCTGTATTGTAATTGGCAGAAATTTACGTTATGCATGATCTTGCTTTTTAATATTATTAATGCTATTTTATTCATATATGACAGTTATCACATAAATTCATGTCATCTTCAAGATTTTTAGGGAAAATAATGGCTTTATTGCTATGCAGTTCATGCATTTCAGCACTGTAATTTTAGTATAATCTCCAGAATATTCGATCAAAAGACTATGAAAACTGCACCTACTCTTATTAAATATAACAGTCCCAATTACATGTTTGTTTCTGCGAAATTTCTATATTATAGCATCAATAATTTTTGAGAAATAGGCAAATAATTTTTGAAGTTGTATGGCAGCTACTTGAACCATTGTCTCAATCGCATCTAATTAAAAAAGGGTTCCGGAATTTTACTATTGTAAATCATTTGTAAATCTTTGATAACTTGGTTTAATCGACTCAGAGTTCGACACTGATGAAAAACATATATTTATTTCTGTATCTCAGACCGTTATTTCTTAGCGCTACAAACGGAAGGGCAAATTTATAATACTCTTCGAATATACATACGTTCGTACGGTTATGAAAAAATCAATAGTTACTCATGTTACTGAATCATACATAGCATGGTAGAATATCAATTCGTACACCCGTACGTATGCACATAAAGGCAAGAACACACTTTTTAAGCCTACAATAAATACGTATATACATTTATGTATATCGCACATCTAACATCAATTAACGATCTTGGAATTCACATTAGTCAATGTTTTGTAAAAAATAATACCTCTAAATAAAATAAATATTTAATAACATGTAATTATGAGTTCGTAATTACTTTAAAAATTTGATGCATTCCAACATCAGTTATCCAATAATTTCCGTGCATATCAATTGTCATACCATGTGGCATATAAAATAAATCTTTACCCCAACCATCTTCAATTATACCATTATGTGAATTCAATATATAAATTGTATTTTCTGATATTGGCCCTTCATCGATGTGTTGAAAGTGATTTGTACCATTAAAAGTTCTAAAAGAGAAAACAAAAAATAAAACATTTATTTTATATACACAAAAATATTATTACGTTTCATCCCATATGCGATTACCACGATGAAATATTACTGGATTTCCGGATGGATTGATTGACACAGCAACAACTTGTCCAAGTTCTAATTTATTCTGTGGCCAATTTTCAACTAATATCGGCGTTGGTATATTTAATGAATTCTCTTTACTACTATCTTGATACTAGTGTACAGATATATGCATATATATGTATGTATGTACATATTCAACACGTATTGTATTAATCGGTCGATATAATTAAACCCAACATAATGTATGTACATACAGGCACGAATTTATTACACACAGGCGAATGTACATATGTATTTATATAGGTTGTAGAATTAAAATTAGGATGTATACGTGATATGAAAATATTAAAAATTAAATTTATTATATAAGTTAATATTTTAAGCGTGAATAGAATTATTGCTAAGGGTTGGTTTAAACAAAATTTAATAATAAACTTACAGCAGAGTTCTCGTGCATTTTTCTTTTAATAAGTTTTCTTATATCATTATAGAACTGATCATTGAATGAATTCCGTATATTCAAATTTCCACAATTGATATATCCAATAAAAAAGGATAACATTAAAATGATTGATTTTATTGATGCCATGTTTCCTTTATAATGTTGAACAATATTGTAATTTTATAAATCAATTGTAGTTGATTATTTCAATTCAACCAACTTAAATAATATTAAGTTCTCTATAGTTTCCTTCTCTATTGAGTTTGTTAGGTATTTTGTAATTCTTTTATCTGAGTTTTTTTTTCGTCATAAACTCATGAAAGTTGTTAAAAAAATGATTTCTTCAATATATAAAATAAATTTTTTTCGAATATTTGATCATTTTTCTTCCACACTATTAATATGTTATGTGTATAAAAATTTAATGACGTTGAATGTTTTCGGTTTAAAAAATTACTTTTACACCACAAAAACTTTTTAAGGTTTTCGGAAAATACAATATGATAAAAAGATGTATTGATTATGCGCACTGTAGTCTTAAAATCGATTCTATTCTATGACAAAAAGCAGTCTAGGTCAACAATCTGTTTCATATATGTATGTATGTATGTACAATTTTAATCTATTCTTTTATTCGAAAAGTTAAATAAGTGTGTATGTTTTTTTTCTTATTGTTTTTCAACAAAAGCTCAACATATGTTTTAAACTTTTCAATAACAAATTTTTGATTCAAATGCAAAATAAGGTAATTTTGAGTCGAAAGGTTTTAAAATGTGTATAAAATAAGTCTGGTTTAAAAATTGTTTCCAGAAAAGCATATTCCTTTGCAACAATAAATTTAAATTGGCAATTAAATTGTGAACAAGAGCGTTTCAAGGTTACAACTTTGGTAGATGGGAAAATAATTTTTTAAATATGTACATCCGTCCTTCTGCGTTTAGAGTTATTAGTTTGTCAATTCAGAAAACTATTGCGGGTTTAGTATTTTGAATTATTTCTGTCTTTCTTGGTTTAGGAATGGTAACTTTATATGTATATACATGCATACATGAAATATCGCTTTTTTTTATAAATTTTTCGGAATTGTAATGAAAGATAAAGTGCTGCAGTGTACTCATTTATTTGAATTAATTTCTTGCATAAATACAGGGATAAAGCAAGAAATTAAAAAAAAATGTTAATCTAATAAATATATCAGCACAGATTCGGTAGAAAAACACATACATACATACATAATTAAAAATTTTAGTCATTTTTTCAATTAGATTTTTGCATTTTTCTCAAATTATCGACTGAACGTTCAAAATCAAAGTAAATTTATTTTATACACATTTTAGAAAAAAACGAGATACGCAATACGAAATGATTCTCCTCACTTGAAAATAACATCATACTAATACATGTTAGTTCTTAATAGCCAAGTCTTCTCACTTGGCGAGTAAAATAGCGAGATACACGATCAGACTCAACACGAATACGATATAAAAACCAAAACAAGAATGTAAATATATATACATACATAGGCGCATTTTAACTGTTGCTTTAACAGTGGTATAACGTTCATGAATGAATATTCAAAGACCCGGCCAAGTTAACTAGATATATCATTCTTATAAGTAACTTTTGGAAACGTTTATATATTCTTGAGATATTTAACGATATTTAATGAAATCTGTTTCAATATAAAATATTTGCGGCGTTGAATGCCTTTTCCACGATCTTCAATAATTTTTTCTTATTGCAGGCTATTTGCTGTCATCTGTAATTTCTGAAACCATTATTATGCTAACACACCGTGAAAATATACGCTAAAAATAATTTAGTATAAATTAAAACAATTTTTCTATTTATAGTGAAAATCCAAAATTTTTAAGCAAAAAAAAAATTTATTAAATTGTTTTTTTTTTCAAAGGTAAAATTTTATATGAAATTAAAAAACACATTACTGTAAAATTCGTCATTCCTCCGCACATACATATTGTACATAGCAACAGTCGGAGAATAATTTTTTGACTGCGCTTATAAATAATTTTTAATGTGTAAAAAGAAAGCTATATTTGAGTAAGTTGTAGCTAAATCTTTTGCTTTTCCAACATAAAAGGGTTTCACTACTTACTTTAAGAAAAGCATTAGATGTATGTATATGGATCACAAATTTCTATAGATTTCTGTTGAACCTTAAATTAATCTATAAGAAAAAAATTGGGAAGAATTAAATTGAAGGGCTTGTGTTCATATTTGTGCATTCATTCAGTGTCTCTATGTTCTATACTGTTCTATTCTGTTTTGAACTTCTAAAGCTATTTTCAACTCAATAAATCAAATGAACTTATAAATCTCTCTTTCAGTTTTCTATATTTTATTATGGTATCAATTTCTAATGATATAAATATGTAAATAAAAACCCTTTACAACAAAAATTTTTGTGTTTGTTTTATGTTGTCTGTGTTTTCACCGTCTCATGTGGCCGAATTGTAGTGTATTTTTGTTTTACGTCACTCAGTGGCACCGTATGATGTACACAAATAATTTTTCTTCTAAAAATAGACATTTTATTTTTTTCCCAAAATATTACTCTGGAATTTTTCTAAAATTTTTAAATATTTTCTTTAACATTAATTTTATTTACCATTTAAATATATTAAAACGTTACTTAGTTAATGAATGAAAATTTAATTGCATCATGAATCAGAGTTTTCGCTCATGAAAATTAAAAAACCATATTTCGATCAACACTGATTTATTTTAATATTGTTTTTTTTGTAACAAAATTATAACATTACTGGGACGACCACTGAGTTGGAAATTTTAAGAATGTAAATATACAGAAACTATTAATGCTCCTCTTAGTTGATTAGTGAAATGATTGCCCAAGTATAAACCAAATTTTTACAAAATTTTATAGTTTCACATGTCTAAATTATGAGTATGAATTTCTTTTGAGTTATACTATTGCAATACCAATAATTATTAATTCTCTTATGTTTTAAAACAGTACTAATTTGCATTGATGATTCGGAACAGAGCAGAAAAGCTTGAAATAAGGAGATATAAAAAGTTTTGCTTTACTCGTAGTAAAATGGAATTTTATAGAATTCATAAAAAATCGGCTTGAGTTGATTTGAATAGCTAATTCAACAGCCTGACAGGTGCACATAGCTTTCTAGATAAAAGAAGTAACTTACTCTTCCTTGTTTCTTTATTTCTGATAATAAAAAATTGGCTATTTGTTCTATTTTGCACATATTTATGTATTTATAACACATAATGTAATCAATATACTTCAACTAAGATACAAAATGTGACAGCACAATTACTAGTACTATGAATATGGTAAAGGAAAATCTACTATAGTAGTATGATATAGTATTTTTTTATGTTCGACAGAGAAATTCCAAGGAAGCCTTTGATAATTTTATTTATTTTCTTTATATTAACAGAAATTATAGTATTATTTCGTTAATATTTGATTTACTAGATTCCTAAACGTCACCTATATAAAATTAGTAATATTACGATTAGATTTGTCAAAAATCTTTCATAATATTAATGTAATATTACCATTATTATGGTCATAGAATCGCACGACTGTGATTCATAATGTAACATGACAAATTATATTCTTTTTTGTTCTAGACCATAACGCTAAAACTCACTTTAAGCGTAGGTGTCGCTTGTGAACACCATCCTAATATTGATAGAATACTTTAAAAGTACATTTTATATTATGTTTGAATATGAAATATTTTTTTTTGAGTGCTAGAATAAGAAAAAAATATTTCTGTCGTATCATCTACATATGCATATACACTATACATTCATGTATACATAATTTTGTAGTAGGTGAGTAGTCTACCCTAAATTTTTCTCCGGTGATCTCTTTGGTTATTAAAAAAATAGATCATGAATTTTCTAGATTTGTATATACTCATTCAACATATAAACAGTAACAATTTTTGTAATAATGAATTAAGAAATTTTTCTTCTTTGCGTTTGCATATGTATTAAATGAATCTGACTAAGCACTTTCGCATCATTATGAAGAACATAAATGATCAACAACACCAACATTATCATCAATTTCAGATTGTTGTAACTTAAAACGATCGCCGAACCGAATATTTTGGAAAAACAAAAATCTAGCATTAAAATTTTCCAATGCCTCAAGTAATTAATAAAATGTAAGAATATTATATTATATCGTTTTGATTATTGAAATTTTCCATTTGTGTACAAAATTAATACATAGTTTTTACAATATTTTCATATGATTTTTTTAAGTATTATACTACAGCAAGTTACATTAGGGTTTAGGCAGACAAGTAATTTTTCTTTTTGCAATTAATGCTTGTGTCAATTCAAATCGATTGCTTAAAATTGCAACTTATTATAAGAATTTGCATATTGTCTGATTGCTTAACTCTATACGATCATACCGTTGCATGTGTACGCACTTGAATGGAAACCTATGGAGTACAAAATAAGCAATCAAACACCTGTAAAATAAAAGTTGCACGTCTGTCTGCGCCTTTAAATTACAATTATTAAATTGTTTAAATGAAGTTTAATAGTTCTTAAGCAATTTCACACGATATACCTATTTAAAATGAATAAACGATGCCGGGAGCCGAGAACGGTTCATGAACTATATTTTATTGGTATCTGTTTTAATTAATGTTGAAAATCTAATTTTACTTAAAAGAATAATAATATTGAAAATTATTGTAGAGAAAAAATGATGCATATGAATATTTTTAGAAAATTTTTTTGAAATGAAAATTTCACATCAATGTATATAAAGGTAAAGAAAAGCGTTTTCCTTTATTCAGAAATTCTTTAGTCGTCTAAGGAAACAGTGATATTTGAAAAATTTCTTTTTAATAAACTTAATTTTATAAAGCAATAAAAAAGAGGTGCGAATTTTTGATTTTTTTTAATCTAATTTCAAAATTAAGTATAATTATTTAATTGTAAATTAATTAAAATTGAAATTATTTCTATTTTTGTTATTAAAATTATGAAATTTTTCTATATAATTAATTAAAATTTTAATTCGTGTTTTTCGATTTTAATAAATAATTTATTTTGTAAAATGTGAATAAAATAATTATTGCAATAATTATAAATTACATTTTATATATGTATAGATGGCTCGTGTACCTTTAATGTTCCGTGATTGGTGGGAAGATTTTGATATGCCAGTAAGAACATCAAGATTATTAGATCAGCATTTTGGTACTGGTTTAAGACGTGATGATTTACTATCATCGTTCTGGAATTCAACACCATCAATTTTACGTAGCGGTTATGTTAGACCATGGAGGAATACAACACTTATGAAACAAGATTCTGGATCAACATTAAATATTGATAAAGAAAAATTCCAAGTAATATTAGATGTACAACAATTCACACCAAATGAAATATCAGTAAAAACATCCGATAGATATGTTATTGTTGAGGGAAAACATGAAGAAAGACAGGATGAACATGGTTTTATTAGTAGACAATTTACAAGACGTTATATGTTGCCTGGTAAAATACCACCACATACATACATATTTCATTTTAAATAAATTTTAACGCTTTTATTTTTTATTTTAGCTGATATAAATCCAAATGATGTTACATCAACTCTTTCATCAGATGGAGTTTTAACAATTACCGCACCAATGAAATCATTACCACCACCAACTGGAGAACGTGTTGTACAAATTCAACAAACAGGTACAGCAGCAACTAAAGAAGAAAATAATGCCAAAGTTGACTGTGCCGCAAAGTAATTAATTCCTGTTTTTTAAATAATTTAAAAGTATAAGGAAAGTTTTTTTAATATTGTTATATTCGAATCAAAAATATTTATCTTAATTAATAAATGTATTATTTTTACATCTAATATTATTGTTTATGTAAAAATTAAAAATGGAACTGATGTAATTGTTGAATTTTCTTTTTTGTAATGGAAAATATTGTTTTTTATTTTTATTAATATGAAGTGATTTTTTTATATATTGTGCAACTAAATACAATAAATTTTTTTTTATTTATATTAAACAAAAAAATTGTGTTTTTACCACTTTATATGTTTTTACATACGAAAATTTGATGTTTTCAATTCTAAATATCTCGTGTTTAGGTGATCATAAGGAACTCTTGATGAAGAAATATTTGATAACATAGGGGTTGGCGATATAGTTTCCAGTATAGTAAATATTACAAATCTCTAAAATTAATTGTTTTCTACTTTTTATTTATGAAAAGCAACAGTTTTCTTAAAGCTTGCATACTTACATATTTTCGTGGAACCTTTAAATAAAATTCTAAATCTTAAAAAGCTAATTTTTAAATAAATTTTAAAATAATTACGTTATTGTATTCTACCGTTATACCGTAACAGTATACGGAAATTATAGTTATGCTTTCTTAATTAAGTTTTTATTAAATTTTCTAATTTTTACATCGATAAGGATTAAGATTAATAATGTGTTGTTAACCTACGTAACGAATTAAATAACAAAGAGTGTCTCCTCGTGGTTAATAAAGTCTCTTATGATTTTTGTGGACAATATGTGTAACTAACCATTGCTCCTCCGAAATTGAACGCCTTTATCTACATATTTTTTCAAAATATTTAAAAGATGGATAATTTAGATAGTATGTTCAATTTGCCAAGACATAGGTTTGTAATACCAGGAAAAAAATATTTGCAACCCTATAAGTTTATATAATATAAGAGTTCCGAGACTCTAAAATCACACGGTAGCGTTTTTAGAAATGGTGTTCTAAAGATTTTGGTTGCGGTAAAATTTTTCTGAGCTCATTTGTCTATAAGATTTCATTAGGACAGGTAGATAATAAATAACGAAAAAACATTAATAATATGTTTCATAGCTCACGAGAAAATAAGAAAAGTTTTTTTCAGATGAGGCCTTTTGTAAATGTACTTTGAACTTAAAATCGACTTTAAAATTTTAGAGTAAAATTAGAAACTTTTTTGCTTTGAAAATATAAATGTTTTAATGAGAGCAGTTCAATTGTTAGATTTTATAACATTTATAATGTTATTAATTTCTTATCTTGATACAAGCAATGCATGTTGATTATTCAGAGTGTTGCACCGCTCATTTGAGAACCGAGAGCTGCATGTACTTTTTAATGTAAATGTTTGTTTTTGCTACACGGAACTCGATTTTATACACGACATAGATCGACCTCGAATTAAATCTTGAACTCTTAGGACTTAAGTTTTTTAGCACTTTTCCAAAAAATTTTTGAAAAAAAGTGCTTATTAGTTTCACTCTGTCTGTCCGTCCGTCCGTGAACATGTTTACAAAACTTCTACACCCTTGAAGGTAGAAAGCTAAAATTTAATATGTACATAAATCTTTACTAGAGACTTATTTCCGTAGAAGAAAATTTTTACCTATTTCCCCCTCGAAGTTATACCCCCCAAAACTCTAAAAATGCAATTTTTTAACTATTTATTACAGTGAAACCATAAGCATTTTGGTTTTTGCAAACACAGAAAGGCAGTGGCTTACTTTCTCGTTTTTCTCCCAAACCCCAGGTTGTAAAAGTCTCAAATTTTAACGGCTTTCAGACACTGATAAATAGTTCATTTCGCTAGAAGAAAATTTTTTCCCACCTCCACGCCCTCTCAAGTTATTGTCTCTTGAAGTTTGTAAAATTTGCCTTATATTTCCGAAACCGCAAGCTTTTTCAAATTTCTATAAACAAAAAGCTAACGGTAAATTCCATGACATTAAAAATATAATTATTTTTCTTAACCCTTAAAATCGAGCATTATGTTAATCCCTCTTTAAACTAATTTTTGCTTTATTTCAAAGGCTGCATAAATCGTTCATCCTGAATATAAGAAAACCTAGAAATAGTTTCATTTATGAATTAAGATAATTTTAATAGTGTGGTAGCTAGGTATACAGTCTATGTATTTAAAAGCAGTATTTTCACTTGTTGAAGGGAAAAGTGCTACAATACAAACCATTGGTTTGACTCAATCTTATTTAATTTTGTTTTTTAATTAAAGAATTACAAAGTGGAACATTTATACATAAAATATAATTACCTTATCTAAAGTTAATTCCTGTACCTTATTTAGCATATACATACAAATGTTTTGTCAATAACTGCACTGCCTAATAATGGTGGAAGGATTTATGAACTATGTTTGTATAGATTTCGTAACAAACCGTTTAATGGAATAATTGAAAAAATTTTCTCTTTGTTTTGGTACTTTTTTATAATTTATCTAAATTTATTTTTGCAATTATGTTCCTGTATTTATACATATATACATATATGAATTTAATATAAGGCCTCTACAAGTTTATTTCTGAAAAAAAATTATATAAATTTTAATTTCATTTCATTTTTAATCCCAAAACGAGTTTGTTTACAAAAAAATTGTATTTTCTGTTTATTTGTGTATATTTAGCAACACAGTTCATATGTACTTTATAGTTTTGTCATAAGTCTATAGGTGTACATAAGTAGTTATTTTTATGTAGATTTTATATAAAAGCTTTTATAAATTTTTTTGGCCGGTATACAAGAAACTCTGCACATTTTATTTTTTCAGCAAAATATAATTTTATATAAATACCATATATGTATACATATACAATATATATACTTAAGATAAATAGATTTTCTACAGTTCTATACAATAATAACAACATTTCAATTGACGTCATATTTAAGAACATTCGGAATTTAATTCGAAAAGATGATGTATTAGAAATTTACACAAAACAGAAAGAAATTAATTTATATGTTTAATTTGAAAGAGAAATTTACTAAAAGAAAGCAATGAAGAAAGTAAATATAAAAGTCTTTCCATGTTCTTTTGAACAAATTATAAATAAAAATTAAATATGGAATTAAAAAATCTACAAAAAACAAAAACAAAAAAAATAATATTGGAAATTTTCTTCTAGATTTTCCTAACATTATTTACGTGTTCATTGATAATGGAGCCAGGAATTACAAGGATAGTAAAAAGAAGTTATTCAGATCAAAGTGTTAAAGGATATTTAACTGAGGTATGAATTAAATTTCTTTTTATATTAGAATTTTATTTTAAAATTTCAAATTTAATTTATGTACCCATTTTATTTGTGAAGAGAACTTGTTGGTGGAATGAAGTATGCAAAGAAGAATTTCAAAATATGTTCAAATGTAAATGTCCACAATGGTATTTTTGCAGGTTAGCACAACAATTGTTAACTTAATAATAATTTTTTTTACATATATGTTAAGAATATTGGAAAATTATTTTAATTTAAAATTTCAGATCACCGGGACGGTACTACAACGCTTATTGTTCAATGGTATGTCAATATTGAAATATACAAGTTTTATATTAGATATATTATGAATAAATTATAGGAGAGACTTATCATGTATAGTGTTATATTGCAAATGTATGATTTGAAGAAGTATAAAACTGATAATTACAAAATTAACTAAATATAAATATAAACTATAAATCGAAATTTCTACCATTATAGTGAACAGAATTAATATGAAAAATTTTTAATTTCCTTGGTTATTCCTTTGTACGAGTACGTTATTTTTCATTTAAAATGTGTAAAATTTTTCTATCTCTAAATCTAATCTAAATCTACTAAAGAAAATTTTAATTTTATTAAAACAATAATTTAAAATTAATTTTAACAGAATTAAATTCAAAATATTTTAATTTTTGAATTTTCTTTTATTTTAGCTCATATTTGAAATTTGTAGGGCATCCAAACCTTAGTCCTATTAGATTATTTAATATTTGTTTAGTTAAAGATAATAAATTTCAAATATTTTTTTCAACAATGTTATATTCAAAAACATTTCAACAACAAATTAAAATCTATCTTAACCTAATAATCTAATAATACCTTATTGGTCTTGTACACCAGTAATTTATTCATAATAGTTTTTATAACTTCGTAAATATTGAAATGGTGTTCCCAACTTGTTCCGTTTATTCTATTTGTAAATAAAGTATCGAAGTTTTCTCAATTTAAGTATTTATCTTTTTACCATTTTATATTTGTTTTTCAATTCAATTTACAATTTGCATTTCTTCTATGATATTGACAGACTAATACTGGATACATTTGGACTCAACCTCCTGCATGGGATTGGAATTCCTGAGAAGAGGCATCGTATAGTGTTCATTTTACATAAATTAAATATATAATTTTAAATTACTAACAAAAAATTACATGAATAAAGTATTCCTCTAACTTTTTGTTCCAATACTGTGAGTCATTATATTAATATTTATGCAAAATTATGTAATACAAAAACAAACCTAAATAATATGAGTTTTACATAATATGAAAATTTAAAGGCACATCAAAATGAAAAAATTATTAAAATTTAAATTACGAATTATTGAAAATTATAAAACAAACCAAAACAAAATACTATTTATACTATATAAGCGTACATACTTTTAAACGTTCAAATTATTAGTGCATATTGCATTTTTATTATATATATTAATTAATTTTTACATACTCTTATTAAAAAAGATATTTATATAAATAATGTATGTATTTTTCATTTGATTATAATTTTTTTTAAATTATTAATTATAATTTTGCTCTTAATTAAAATAAGTATCTTAAAATAATTATTGTATAACTTTTACTACAACTTAATATAAAGAAAGTTGTGAATTACTACAACTACAAAACTTTAAAATAATATTATAAATGTTTAAATACACACAATTTATTTATTTGATTATTTATTTGTTTTAATGACATTAAGATAAACTTGGAGAAAATATTTTGAGCCTGATTAAGAAAAGTATTTAAAAACGAGAAAAAAAATATAGTTGACCTTGTCAACTCTGTGATACCCGTACGAATTTGTTATCCTATGTGCAAATAAAGATGCCATAACTGACTATGCGACAGACGATAACTTTAAGTTGCCGTATTACCATATTAATGTATGCAAAATTTCAGTACTATGTGTTTTTCAAAATACTGCGTGTGCCAAACTACTATTTAAGTTGTATGGCAGGTACCAGAAGGAGCCAAGTAATTTCAACGATTCTTATCATACACATTGGCCCTTCTAATATATTTGTTTGTGTGAAATTTCAATACCACAACTTTTATAGTTTCTGAGATATAGCCAAATAAATTTTGAAGTTGTATGGCAGGTACCAGAAGGAGCCAAGCAATTTCAACGACTTTTATCAAACACATTGGCCCTACTGGTATATTTGTTTGTGTGAAATTTCAATACCATAGCTTATATAGTTTCTGAGATACAGCCAAATAACTCTTGAAGTTGTATGGCAGGTACCAGAAGGAGCCAAGTAATTTCAACGACTTTTATGAGACACATTGGCCCTACTAATATATTCGTTTGTGTGAAATTTCAATACCATAGCTTATATAGTTTCTGAGATATAGCAAAATAAATTTTTAAGTTGTATGGCAGCTACCCGAACCGGTGCCCCGATCATGTCCAATTTAAATAGGGTTCTGGCACTTACTTCAATAAATCATATGTGAAAATTTGGTGAACTTAGCTCCATTAGTTTTTGAGTTATCGTTGGGACGGACGGACGGACGGACGGACAGACAAAGCTAAATCAACTCAGAATTTGACGCTGATCAAAAACATACACTTGAGTCTATATCTAAGACCGTTATTTCTTAGCGTTACAAACGGTAAGGCAAATTTAGTATACCCTTCGAACATACGTTCGTACGGGTATAATAATCAATTGTTCTGGCCAATTACTTTTCTGGCTCCTCAAAAATTAATTGTTATTGAAAAACGTTGTGCTCATTATTAATTTTGTACCATAATAATTTTAAGCATTATATAACAAAATTTTAAAGGATATTTCGATGGGTACATAGAAATTCTTAAAAAAAAGCGCTAATAATATTTCAATAGGGCTCTAAACTAAAGATCAAAGATGATTTTTAGAAAATTGGAAAAATTCAAGATTTTTGACACAGCTGAAACACAGGTTGAAAACAGCCTCTTTTTGGGTAAGGTACAAACAATGCGCATAATATAGTATGAAAACCGTATTAGATAGTAACATTATGATTATGAATAAAAAATAAATTGAAGTTATTGTATATTACAAAAATTTATTAACAAAAGTTTCATATAACATCAATATACATACATATCAACTAATCATAATAAAAGTTATTAATAATATAGCTGGGCCTGAATAATTTTATCCGTTTTCAAAAATGTAGCTGGGTCTGTTGTTATTAAAATTTTATGTTCCAAAACTTTTAATTACATGAATGTAAAGATAAAACTGGTAAAAAAGCACGTATTGCCACATTAGAACAATAAAATTATTACCATTAGAGTAATGTTACTACAAATCAGATATTTTTAATTTAAGTGCTATTTTGAGGATTTTATCAGTACCACCGTAAGAATCGTGCGTGTGCAAGCAATAAAATAACTTCAAAATGTTTATATTCAATGGAAAAATCAATAGGATATAACAAGTGATTGGAATATGAAGAACATTAAAAACAGCTGCTGTTGAAAAAATATGATAATTCTAAATAAACAAACATTCCGTTTCGTTCCACCATTTTCATTCAAAACATGTGGAATGTAGAAGACAAAAAAAGCAATATTATTCGTTTTAATTATCGAAAATTTTCACTTTCATTTTTGTAAAGAAAAGCTTTTATACTAGATATTGTTCATGATTTTATTAAAGCATCAAGAATTTGTTAAAAAATTAAAGATTTTGAATTATCTACTTTTTTCATTCACAATTTTTTATCAATATCTTAAAAATTTATCAGTATAGAGAAAACATATTGTGAATAAAAAGCATCTCATACAAATTGTATGAAAATGTGTGACAATAGATGAAAGTTTGGTAATGTATATTTTACGGGTATTTTTGAAGATGCAGTTTTTAAAATACAGAGCTTTTAAATTTCAAGTTACGAATTTTAAAAAATTTGTGGGTTGAATAGTTTCATATAAAAAATTTTCAATCCAAAAAATTTCTTCCAAAAAATTTCAGCGATTGCATACATTTAGGATGAGCGCTGTATGCAATCTTGGAAATAAAACAAAAAAAGAATTTGAAGAGGCTTTAATATAAAGCTCAAATTCAAGGATTATTTGCGTGAGTTAAGAAAAATAATTATATTTTTTAATGGTATGACTAAACTTTCAGCATTTATAGAAATTTCCAAAAGTTTTCAGCTTCGATGCCAAAAATTATAAGATGCCAAAAATTAAAATTTTACAAATTTCGAGAGGCAATAACTTGAGATGGGGTAGTGGTGAAAAAAAATTTTTCTAACGAAACGAACTATTTATTAGTGTCTAAAAGCTGTTAAAATTTTAGACTCATTTAACCTGAGATCTAGAAGAAATTTGGAAAAACGAATTTTAGATAACGGTAAATTTTGTTTTGTTAAAGTTCACCCTCTATTTTTCGGCGTGTGCAAAATTTGAAAAATGCGTATTGTTTCGCTGCAATAAGTAGTCAAGAATGTATCCGTCCTCTAAAAGTGTGGGGGGGGGGGGGGGAGGCAAGTAAAACTGTTCTTCTACGAAAATATGTTTCCAGTAAAGGTCTATATACATATAAAATTTTAGTTTTCTATCTTCAAGGGTTTATTTTTTGAGTTTTGCATTTGTCTGCATTAAAAAAGTCGTAATATTAGGATTGCACTGTTTATGATGCATTATGAATTCATAATATATTATGCAGTATATATACACATATATGCATATGAGCATAGGGTGCATATGTATGCAAAAATTTTTATATTTTAATTACAATTGCAACTTTTTTTAGCATATTCTCTCTTTCTCTTTTTTTAGCATTGCTGCTTTTTAAATTTTGAATGCTATTTTCCTATTAAAAACTTTGCATTTTTTCTTATCTTTGAAATGCATTTAGTTGCATATGAACCGTTCGAATGCAAAACGCAATGTTGATTGATTGCGTGTTCTTTATGAAAGAAAAATTTTAAACCCAAGTAATTAATTGTAAATGGAAGTGTCAAAATATTTTTATATTGAGAAGGTTGAAAATAATTATGCCAAATCGTTGAAAGTTCCAGGTCGAGAAAATTATATTAAGTTGCGATTGAAGAATGTAAATGAAGGATTTCCAATAATAAATCATGATTTTATTACTAGAACATGTTTTATGCCTGAGGCGTATAAATTTATAGCTGATAAAGCATACGAAATCAAGATAAGAAAAGATGATGTTTGGGTAGTAACATATCCAAAGAGTGGAACAACTTGGATCCAGGAAATGCTTTGGTTAATAATACACAATTTTGATTATGAGCAAGCGTTAAACGTTGACTTAACAGAGAGATCACCATTTTTAGAGTAATGGATTTTTTAACTACATTTATTTGAATATAATTGAAATATACTTTTGTTAACAGAATTAGTGGTTTAGCAACAAATTTGGAAATAAATTCTGTTGGAATAGTTGAAGATTTAAAATCACCGCGCCTAATTAAATCTCACATGCCAGCATCATTTCTACCTAAGTCAATTTGGACAGTTAAACCTAAGGTATGCCTCTTTTGCAAAAAAAAATGTATAGGTTTAAATAAATTTAAAAGATTACAATTACATACATATGTATATTTCAAACCCTTCACAGTTAATTTATGTTTCAAGAAATCCTAAGGATGTATGCATTTCATATTATCATCATTGGAAAGGAATGATTAATTATAAAGGAAGTAAATCAAATTTTGTACGAGCTTTTATATCGGACAATATGAATTTCGGACCTTATTGGGATCATGTAGCAGAATTTATAAAATTGAAAGATCAAAAGAATATTTTATTTTTAACATTTGAAGAACTAAAAATAGATTTAGAAAGGGCTATTAAAAAATGTTGCACATTTCTTGAAAGATCTATTGATGATGAACAATTGGAAAAGCTTAAAACGCATTTGTCTTTTGAAAACATGAAAAGTTAGTAAAACATCAATTTATTTTAAACACAAAATTTTTATTTTTCCATTTGTAGAAAATCCACAAGTTAATCATTCTTCAGAGACAAGACTTTTTAAACAAGTTGCGGAAACTTGTCATCAAAATGAGACATCTTTTGAGTGCGTTAAGTTTACAAATAAAATTTTCGAAGCACTTTATAACTTACACATTGTATTTTAACATTATTTTCCTAACAGATTTTTACGTAAAGGACAAAGTGGTTTATATGAAGAGGAATTGGATACAGATCTATTAAAGGAATTTGAGTGCTGGATACAAAAAATGAAACGCAAACATAACTTAGAATAAATTTTGTTTCACTCCGTAAAAATAAGAATAATGAACAAACAGAAATTTAACATTGTGTAACGCATAGAAATATTTCAATATAATGTATACGTTACAATTTAGTGCAAATTATATGCTGCTTCTTTAGCACTTAATATACATGTGTATGTACTTATGTATAAATACAATTTTAATTTTAAATATTTTTGGGCCTTTACGAAGCTTTGCAACACGGTTTGCGTTCTGAAACTAAAAATTGCAGTTTTTCTAAACTAGAAGTGAGTCAAATTGTAGTGGAACGGAGTGTGCAGTAGAATTGGGTTTGTCTGAACAAAATCTAATGTGAGAGTATAAGCGAGTTTTCAGATTTGTAGACTGAAGTTTTTTAGGATTTTTATTTTGATCCTGTTCGACGTTTCTTTAGAAAATCTCTCAGCTTGGATTCGTATATGACCAAGAATGCATCATAAAACATTTTGTGAACTGCCAAAAAATATAAATTTTTTTACAATATAATAATTTTATTTCATAAATGTATATATTTTTGCTATGTTAATTTCCGGAACACATGTTAAATAGGTTTGAATTAAGTCATCATAAGTCATCTTTCATCATCTTACTTATGTATGTATTTATGTATTTTATTTGAATTTTTGGAACAAATAAATGACTGAAAATTTTTATGTAACAAAAATTCAAAACAAGAAAAGAATAACAGATAAATTAAATTTTTCCAATTGTTCAAAATCGTTTCTTGCTTTACTTTAAAGTACATATTACGAGCAAAATTAACTTTTTGTGATCCGAAATGTTTTAAACCAAAATCAAAAATGAAAACTCTTTTGCTTATATTACATTAAAAAGAATTGACGATAATCGTTTAATATTGTATCGGCTATTATTTCTTTTTGAGACATTTACGATGTCTCAAAAAGAATTTGGAAGTAATTCTCAAAGACGATTCGGAAAGTAAATATATCTGCATTTATAAGCTGTTTACGCAATTATGAACGCATCTTACTTTTAAAGTTCTTTGAAAGAAATAACTAAATACGTTATCTTCAATAATTAAACTTAATTATTTAGTAACATATTAGAAACTTTAATTATTTTAAAATACGTAATAAAATACGATTAAGGATGGGCATAATTAGATGGGTACATAACATATGGTATAAACAATATTGTGCATCAAAATTAATGCATTTATTGATTTTATAATATCTAAGATCACACATTATCTGCAGCTATTCTGGCATTCATCATTTATTTTTGCAATTTTAAGAAAAATTTAAAGACTTTCTAAAATGGCAAATAATAAAACAAGCGTTTATTTTTTTTTCATTCATTAATCAATGTATTTAATTTTAAATTGCTACACTAATAATTTTCTTTTCATTATTACACTAAGAAAAATGTATATTTTTTCCTTTAAATAAAGTTATTAATAATTACACAGAAAAAAGTCATTCTTAGTTTTTTCTTTTTTATTATTTTTTTCTTTAGTAGACAATATTTTAAAAATCTACTATTATTAATAAATTTTTGTTATGCAATTTTATATTTTTAATTAATTTGTTTTAGAAATGATTACAGTTAGAAAAGTATATGACCAGCATAACCAACATAATTTTAATGTGTGTATAATTATAACAAGAATTAGTTTTATCTATAATAAAAAAAAATATAATTGTTTTTTTCTCATAATTATATAATTTAATAGTTTCATGTTGCTATAAACTACAATACATTTACATACTATAATAATACATACTTATATTAAGAAAAATAGATATAACGAGCTTATATGTATATTACCTGTAAAAATATTTAAGATTTTTCTTTATTTGATAAAACACATACAGCATTTTTTACTTTTATTTGAATATTTACAAGTTTCAATATTTTTTTGTTTAATCGCAATTACATATTTATTTCATAAAGTTTTTTGAAACCTCACAGATAAAAAAGTGTTCATAAAAATTTTCTTAGGCTTTTATAATTTAGTTATCTAGAGAAATTTGTTTTTGTTAAGTACAATATACATACATACATTTATAATGAAATTTTTACTGGAGAAAAAATATACCAAAATCACTAAATTGAGCAGTATCGAATTCTATGAAAAATTGTTAAAACCCGATTCTTAATATTGCAACAGTGCTAATTAAGCACTATTCTTATTTATGATAAGAATGGAAAATTTTCAAGCTAGTTTTATCGGGCTCTTACAAAATGAAGATTTACTATAGTTTGCCATGAAGTTAATAGTTTAGTTTAACTAAAGGTAGTATTTGAAAATGATTTAAGTTTAAAATAGAGCTAAATGAAAAATGATATTTGTTGAATAAAGATTGCAACATTTCTGAAATGAGATGTAGTTAAAAATTCAAAGTTCAGAGCGTAAGATGAGTTACTAACATATTATTCATTACACCTATAGGAGCATATGTACAGTTATTGGTAAAATTTGAGGCTTTTTATTAAACTGAATTTGAGTTAATCTCAAATGAAAAAATTAAAAAAAAATATTGTTAATAAATTACTTAAAATACATTCTCTTTGAAATTTTTTTGAATACTATTCAATTTTGTTTGAATATTTATATTTTGATTAAAGTGTATATATAAAGTTTACAATAAATTATAAAATATACATGTAAGAACACATTCAAAGAAGCTTTACAACTCGGTTAATATGTTAACTAATTACTTGTTTCCAAAATTCCAGTTTAGTTAAAGATGAAAACTCTAGAGTTTAAAAAAATGGGTCTAAAGAAATAAAATTTAACGAATTTTTGATTTCAAATCCAAAAAAGTTTCCAACATGTAAGTATCAAAAGATGTTTAAAGACAATATTTAGTCGTGTAATGTAATGGAATTTTAAACTAAGTTTGAGTGATACTTAAAACTTAAATTTTCAACTAAGAATTGATATAAAGTAATAGATATGTACATACATAGGTATTAATCTTATAAGAAATCGATTTACACTTTTTGACATCGTATCAGATGACAATTTACACATTATTCTCTTACAACAAAATCGATTCTAAAAATTCCAATGGATTGCCAAAAAAAATCTTGAAATGTAAAAGCATGTTTTGCTTTGTATTGCAAATAATTATTTTTAAATATTTCTTTAACTAAAACAAAACCCTTGCACATTAAAGTTTTACGAAATTCATGGCTTTAGGAAGCCACTAAATAATCTCACAAAAGCCCAATGTTATTTATTTGACTTCTTTGCATTCAACGTTACTTGCATTGATTTAATATCAGCTAATGTATGAATTCCTTGTTCCTCGAATTTTTTCCATTGTGAGTAATTAAATTGCATATATGTTATTAATTGTGGCATGTCTATGAAACCTTAAAAAGAAAAGAAAAACATTTGCTTTATATAGTTGCGTATGTAATCAATTGTTGAAAAGCTAGTTTCGTTTGTATGATAAAAAGCTTACCATCCCAAGCATGCATCATGTCTTGTATAATAAATTCTATAAAACCTATTTGACTTTTTGGTATACTGCATGTAGCATGATCAAACATTGGCATTACAATTGGAAGTCCTTTCTCTTTTTCTTCATCTGTTTGTGTAAAGTATTCTTCAGCAATACGACGTGCCCATTCAACACAATATGAAAGTGGTCTAGATGGATTACTTACATCTGCTACCTTAATTAACATTCTACGAATTAGAATTTGGTTTTCATCGTCAGGTATAACCTTAAAAATAGAATAATAGAATTTAATTATATGCACTACGACAGTTTATTCAAATAGAGCGCAGAATGTGAAAGGGTGGTGTCATACCCAAAACCACTCATTGAAGCAAATAAAATTATTAAAAGGCATTTTTGAGTTGAAACATTTATAACAAAAAAAATTATGTAATAAAACAAAATGATGTATTTTTTATGCTTTACTTATTATAATTCAATATTTCGTAGTTTTAGTTGTTATATTTAAGTAATTTAAACTCTAATCCGAGTTTAGATTTTACTATTCAACAATTTTATTTATATTAACTGGTGGTATATTAAAAAAAATATTTGCTACGATTGTTAGTGTCAATTGCAATTTTGATGCAAATTGCTATTTGGATTAGGGTGGAAAATTGATTGTCATCAATATACTTTTGATTGAAAATCTTTGAAAAGGATTTTGCGTGTTTAACCCAAACAGTTTAGAACTACTCACCGAAACCGAAGGGGGTTTGTAAATTGCATAAGCAATCAACAATAAAAGGATTTTTTAAGCACACACTCACATATTTTTCAAATTGCTTTATGTTATTACGTACTGGGCAATTCTTCTCAAAGTGCAGTCAATTGCTTTTTGAATTCGTTTTGAAACTGTTTAAAACTCAAACATACTTAATTGAATTGCAACATTCAATTCAAATTAAGTTTCATAAAGATTGATATCTATAATGACGGCTTATTATATTCATAACAATCCATTAAATTTACGTTGATCTAAACTTTCTTATCAAGTCTGTTTATATCGAACACATAATATCGGTGGAAAACATCATTTAAGTCATTTTCCTAATAGTCAAATTAATTTTGCATTCTTTTTTTATTTTTTCAATTTTCGTTTTTGTAAGTAAAGAAAATTGAAAATATGGTGTAAAGCGGCACATTTCTACCTTTCATAGATATGCTATTAAAGAAATGCGATCAGATGCTTATTATCACAAATTATACTTGAATTTAAACAGTATGTTTTCAATTGTAATAACTTTCTTGTCACTTACATCACGATCAACATCCGCACCAAAAACGCTAACAAATTTTGCTAAATGTTCAAAATGTCGCGTCATTTCTGTTGCTAGAATCATATCAATTATTATACTTCTGGCATTTTTATATGTTTCCTTGTCCAAATTTCTAAATATATTTATTTTTTCATCAGCTAAAATCACCAATTTAAAAAAAAATTAATTAGTACCATTAATAAATTTAATATAAATAACAAATAATGAATTTACATAATGTTAATTTAAATGTAGTGGCAGCATGATGTGATTCTAATACAGTTAAATCATTGTACAATATTGCTAGTGGGCTATTTGAGTTGCATAAAAATGCTGATGAGCGTCCTGGATGATCAATATCATGAGTTGCAGCTGCAATCAATGCAGCCGCTTCGTCTAAACGATCTAATCCCATATCTTTTGCTCCTAATTGAGTGATAAATGCACCGGTTGCCTTATGAAAAAGTTAATTATAAATTGGGATTTTTATTTTTGCAGAAAACTAAAATTTTTGTATACCTGCATAACGTCTGCTGCATGTGTGCTATTGTGATATGAATTTTGTGTATGATAGTGAGCTTCTATAACAGCTAACCAACCTTTCGCTGTTATCTCATCAACATTAAAAGTACTAAATACATCAAATCGTCTAAACATTTCCATTCCTAAATATAAGAGTGGTCGTTTTTCAGAAATTTCTTCCAATTTGAAGATATCAAATTCCCAAACAAGAGATTCTTCTAATAGTTCCATGATTTGCGATGTTGCCTGAAAGTATGCAATCAGTATATTATTTTTTTTCAGTAATTGTAAAAGTTTATAAATAATACCTTCATTTTAGATGGTAATAAATTTGATGGTCTGCTTGTTGATACCCTAATAATTGAATCATTCGAACTTCTTCTAGATGAGTATAAATTTGTTGGTCCCTACAATTACGCTTAATTTTTTTTATTTTTTTTTGTTAAAATCAGGGACAATTACCGTTAATAAAGCTCCAATTAGATCGGTTGCAATAGGGTCTTCGGTTTTTATTTCCTTCATTTGTGGACTATAAAGGCCCTCTTTTTTTAAAAATTCAGAAACTTTATCGATCAGTCTTGCTTCTTCTGGTGAACAGTTTTCTTGTACTTGTGACAAAAGATTAACAACCTTTAAAAATAAGAAAAAAGTAATTATGACAATGATGTTTTTCAACAAATACTTATTGGAATTTTTTAAAGGCACTTCTTTCGTCAACTTTTAAGTTAATTACAATACACAATCTTATAATAATTGAATTGAATTGCAAAAATCCCTTGCAAAATTAAATGTTGACAAAATTTTATTTCGGGGGAAACTTACTAGTAATTTACGTTATTGTTTCTTTGGCTAGGAAAAATTTTTTTTCAGAAAATAATTTTTAAATTTAAATTAAAATAAATTTAAGCCATTTGCTTATATACCAATGACGATAAATAATAAAGTGCCTATAATAATAAAATATATAGAAGAGAGATTCGGAGATTCGGTAGTATTCTAGAAGCAGACTGATAGAATGTTTTCAGACGAACAAAAATTTTGGAATATACATTTTTCTTTTTTCATCCTTCGGATTCTATCATCGTCTTTTGAAAGTACAACTGCTTTACTTTTAGGCGTGTTGAACAGGTTATAAGGAAAACAAAAATTTTTAGATTTTGTCTTAAAAATATATAAGTATATAAATGTTTGATAGATTTCTAGATTCTGTAGATATTAAAAATATTTGTAGATTTCAATTCAATCGATTTTTTTTACTACCAAACTTCAAATATTAAAGCAGAAGTACATACTGACTATTCTACAATCCGCATCAGTGTTATTGAAATTATAATAACATTAATGCAGATATAAAGTTTTCTAAACTTTTTAAATAATTGAATTTACTTTTCGAAGATATTATGGTCTTTTTTATTATAATATTTATGGATAAATTGCGGAATAAGTAGAGCAAAAAGATAAATAAATATAAGATAAATCAAAATAAAATTAGTTTGAAAGGCATACGATTAGTGTACAACTGATTATACAAGAAAATTTATTAATATTTGTTAAATATTTAATAAAGATTTGAAATTACCTTTGTTATTGGTGCTTCTAATGGTAACGATGTTAATTTTGCAAGACTTGTTCTTCTTAAACCATCCGATGCTATGGAACGAACATCATAACTAGCACGACGTATTGAATGTAAAGAACCTCTTTGATTTTCTTTTGGCTGTGGTAATGTTGCTATAAAATCATTTTGCCCACCAGGAACATCAAAATTGAATACAAAATGTGTTGGAGTTCTATAATAATATGTTGACAAAATACAAAAAAATTAATTATGTGAAAAAAAAATTATAATTATAAGAATGTAATTTACATGATTGTATGAATTTGACCTTATCAAATATTTATAACAATATTTAAGCTCGTATGCGTATATGTTGTGTATATTGGTATGGGTATGTAAGCATGAAAATCTCATTGAATTCTATGCATTAATATATCTATATTGAGTTGTTTGTAAATATTTGTGTACAAAATAATTCATTTATACTAAATAAATATCTTAAATAATTTACTTATTATGTTAATGTGAAGAAAAAATTATCTAAATAGTTTAAACTAATATAACGTACAGTTCGAAATCGTCATGTAACCCACTACCACGCATGGATTTCTTAAATATTATTCCTTGAGTTAATTGTTAAAATGTAGTTGAAAAGTGGCTAAATCTTGATTTAGAATATTTTCAGGAACTTGTATAGTTGTAGAGACTAACTGTCTGAGAATATTTGTAGAAGGCAAGAAGGAAATATCTAAATAGCAAACCTTGTATAATTCGAATGTTATGCTTAATTCCTTTTAAATGTTTTATATTATGTATACTTAAATATATACATATATATGTATATATAAATATATAAATAAACTTACACAAAAAAAAAATTATATAATTACCTTCCAATACATGCTACAGGTACTACTCTTACATGCATAGGAATACCATCATGTCCTTTTCTTTTTACTGTTAAAATACCATCAAATTCCCGGATATGTTTACCTTGAGCATTTATTGAAGAAACATCCGATAGGAATATTTCAGATAAAGGTCGACTTATGATTTCATCCTGCAATATAAAATATAACACAAGTATAGATGTAATTGAAGAAAATAAAATAAGAGAATAAAATTTTTTTTTCGTTTTCCTTTAATAATTTTTGAAGTTTTTTTTTTAAATAACACGATCAATACACGGCATTCACATCCTGTAGAACCCATAAATAAACGTGTCTTTTTATATGTGATTTCAGTATATGTATATAACATTATTGCGATATTATTATATAATTAAACGATTAGAACATAGACAGAAATAACATTCATATATGCACATTATAAAATCAATGACAAGGTTGACAACCAAGAAAAAGGAGGAAGGATATACGAAACTGAGAGGGCAAAATTTATTAATTTTTTTTTGTATTTTTATTCTTCTTTTTGATTTCATACTAAATTTTGTTCCTTTTTCTGACTTTTATTGTAATGTTACATTAAATAATAAATATAATAAAATTTTTATTTACTGTGGAGAAAATGGTTAGGATATTTGTTTTTCAATAATGTCAACACATACACTTGTGTGTATTTAATGCTTCTGTACGTTGTGTACATACATATTACTTTCTTTGTATTGTAACCAAAAATCTATTGTAGAAGAAATGGTAAAAAAACCTTTCATTGTTTTTTTTTCGTTTGTGGAGAAAATGCGAAATTCAACAAGAAGAGTAAATAACATTTTTATTAAATAGCATATTAAATGTAATTTCTCTTTAAATATAAATTAAGAAATTTGGGTTCTTATAAGTATAAGGTTGTAAACAAAAAAAATAAATTTTTACAAAAGAATTAAAGCTCAAATTTTTTTTAACAGGCTGTAGCTCAAAACATGTGTAACCCCTCCCCCATTCAATTTTTGCTGGAAATTGGTCAAAGAATAATTTCTGAAATTATGCGAAATGCTCTGTATCTCGGTGAATCATTATTAAGCATTTTAGTGTACATAATTGTTCAAAGTTAAGAAAATGTGTAAGATCAAAAAATCTTGGAACTACGAAACAAGATACAGAAAAAGGTGTTAGGAAAATTTCACAAAATTTTTACTTGTCCATGTTATATGGTTAAAATTTCCGTGTGTAACAAGAATTGTTTAATGTAATTTTTCTTATTTGAGATTTAATTTGACGAACAAAATTTTAAGTGTATATTTTATTGCCATTTTTATATGGCAATGAGTATGAACTATGTTAAAATTCAATGCAGGAACTAATTTTCAAATAAGGTCTAATAAAAGTTTTCAAATTTATGAAGTTTACTTATTAAATACTAAAATTTGAATATATAAGAATTTTGTTTACCAATCGCATATTTAAAAGCCTCTCAGTTGATTTATTTGCATATTGTATACGTAATAAATCGTCTGTTATCAAAAGAACTTCTTTCAATCTATGTAGTGCTGTGTATAAAGTCTAAAAATTTTAAAAAGGAGAAAAATTGTTAAATTAAAATCGACAAGAAAAATTTAGTTTTGTAAATACCTGTTGTGTTGACATAACATTTTGCGGTCTTACTATGGAATGTAAAATTTGTTTTATTTCTGTTGAGCATATCACGACATTTGGACTTTCAGCAATGCACTGTTGATATGAAAAATAATTATTTATATAAATAATTTAGTTAAATATGATATTTTTAGCGAAATTAACAAAAACGAAACTTAGTGTTACCGTCAAACTTTTATTGAATTTATAGAATTAAAGTCTTAAGGTAATTTAAATTAGTTTTTAATGTTCTACAACAATATTCAATTCAATTTGTAGTAAATTATTATTCGGGTAAAAATTCAGCTTTTAGAAATATAATTTTCTCTCATAAAATATAAAATAAATTACCCTATTAACGCCAGCATCTAAAAGTGCAATCAAAGAAGTTTCATCTTTTTCGAAAAAACTGTAAAGAGATAAAAAAATTAAAATTTTTAAATCAGGTTAAACAAATTGTATTCGACATAATAAAACGGGTTTAGAATCAAACACTCCATATATGAAGAGCTTTGCACTGATTAAGTTGAAATGTAGTTAGGTATTTTAAATTTATATTCTTATTAACTGATATAGCTTAACTCAAATAGTTTAAGTAGTTTTTGTACAGCTTAACTCTCTATGTATTTCTTAACCGCCTCAATTAGATATTCTAATATTAATACATGTATGCTATTTGAAAGATTATGATATGTGATTTTAAATTGCCGTTTGGCAAATTTAGCCGTAGCCTGAATATGCTTATAAGCTTTATACAAGTTACAAATTACTTGATTTATATTTTAATTAAAATTGTAATCTACTCGCTTCGGTATTTCTTAAATAAATTTATATGTAAAATCGAAAAGAAAACTCAGAACATGAAAAAGGAATTTGTATGCTAATTAAGATTAATGAAAAAAATACTTGACAATAGGAATAATGTGTTAAAAATCAGGATGTGGGCGTGTTGTTTCTATGGTAAATACATAATAGAAATTTATTTTCACTCGCTTTAAAATTTTCTTAACTATAATAAGTAACGTCGATAATATTTTTTACATTTACCTGTAAATTATTTATTTCTATTGTATTTGACTACAGGTGAAAAAAATATTAGGCATTTTATATTGATTATTTTAAGCTCTGAATAAAAAAAATATGCACAATATTTTTCTTAGGTATCGAAAATCTGAATTTTTCTCAGATTCCAATAATCCTCTTAAATTTAAATATAATATACATATTAAAGTAAATTTAGAAAGTATTTATAGAAAGCTTTTTAATGTTTTTTAAATCAGGAATAAGCAACTTAAATTTAATGTAACTGTGATATATACATATGTATATGATAATAAGTCGCAACGTTTTCTGAGTTAATAATTTTTAAATCTTAAATTTGTACTTCGTGCGGTTTGAAGGTAGACACAGTAGGCATTGGGTTTTAATTGATTCCCTTCCATTTAAGAGTATATTACGCTTTAAACTGTGTAATAATTTGCTATTGGAGTAGTCTGAAAATGTAACGCTGTTTTGTATGAAAACTCAAACATTTAGCATTTAAATTATTTATTAGAAAATAATTTTTAGAAATGATGAGAAATGACTTTTATTTTTTATTTAAATATATAAAACTAGTTACCGGAATGAATGTGTGTAAATATTTTTCTTAACAAGTGATTTACATATAACGGTATAGTTGGAAGAGTTATTCTTCTATAGAAATGTAAATGAAATCTAAAATTTTAGTGTTATATGATACATAGAATCGCGAATGTATAAATAGCAGGATTAAGCTGTATAAAATGTAGCAAAGATTTGTTATGGTGTTATAGAAAACTTCCTCATGTCATAAGTATTGAAGTTTTATATAAAAAAGGTTACAATTATGTGATATTGGTGTTAGGTTAAAAGTAAAAGATCACTTTTATATTCTTTTAAAATGTTTCTTTAAACTTAACTTTAGCGACATACGTAAAAAACCAATTGAAATGCAACATACCGATTAAAAAAAAAATTAAAATTTAATTTTTATTCTATTTTGTTTCCATTATAAAATTTGAATAGGAATAAGAAATTTGTAATATGGCAACATTAAAAGAGTTGTCGAGTGCCAAACAATATCAGTTTAATTTTAAGGATACAATAAGTTTTGTATTCTTAGTTAAGGCATTTCAATTACTGGTTTATATCTCTGTAACTCCAAGTTATTAAGGAGTAGTTGGAAATAATTTCTAAACGGAGTGTTCTTCAATATAAAAATGTCGTTATAAAGAAGTTAAAAATAATTTATAAATTTGGTAATTGAAGACTTGACGATTATTTTTTATACAAAGTATAAATCAATTTAATCTGAATCTGAATAAATAAATAAATTTGGTAATTGAATACAAACGCGGGAAATCCTTGAGAATCTTACAGGCCAATTTCACTGTTACCAATGATGTCTAAGTTTTTTGAAAAGCTACTTTAGATTAAGGAGATTGAAGCCAATAATAGAAAATAGGGGCTTTATACAAAACCATCAATTTGGTTTTAGAAGAAACCATTCTACAATAGACCATGTTCATAGAATAACGAATATTATAGAAAAAAGTTTGGAAAATAAAGAAATCGCTCTTCTATATTTCTAGACGTAGCACAGGCATTCGACATGGTATGGTACAAAGGCCCTATATGTATTTAAATTAGGACAAATGATGCCATCGCCATTTGTAGGAATTTTGGAGTTTTACTTAGCTGATAGATTATTTAGAATTAAATAAGATGCTGAAAACTCCACGCTAAGAGAAAAAAGAGCAGGTGTGCCTCAAGCCAATATTGGGTCCAATATTGTACTTGCTTTACGCGAGTGATTTGCCGTATTGGCAGTATTTGATATTGCAGTATTGGCAGTAGGATCAAACATTGACGATTCCACAAAAAAATTACAGGAGGCAAGTAACAAAATAAGCCAGTGGACTACGGTTTTCAAAATGTAGTTGAATGAAGCAAAATCCGTTCTCATGAACTTCACCAATCGGAAAATAGTGAATCCATCACAAATTAACTTAAATGGAACGAAAGTAGGAATCCACAACTCAGAAAAATAATTGATAATAAGGTATTGATTCATAACCAAATCATTAAACCAATATTGGTATATGGCATTCAACTGTGGGGTTGTGCCAAGAAGACTCACATTAAGAAAACTCAAACCTTACAGAATAAAGTTATATGGGGTATGGTAAATGTGTCATGGTATGTACGTAACGGTGGCATCCACAGGGACCTAGGGGCTCCTTTGCGTGTAAATGAAATTAGAAGTTGGCTACAAAGCGTAGGGCTCGTCTAGAACAGAACGAAATATGGAAGCTCGGCTCTCGGCTGCTATACAATGGCGTTATGACGGAAAGACTTAAAAGAACAAGACCTTTGGATTTAACACTAAATACCAATTTCCTTATGGTAGGTATTTAATTCCTGTACGTAAAAAACGAAGTTAGCGCAGAATTAATAGTTGGCCTGTAGGACTAGTTTTATCCGTTCAGCGTTTAGGTGATTTTTTAGAGTAGGAGTCACCCAACTGTCGGAGGAAAAAGGCAGGTAGCGCCATCCTTCTTCGTCTTTCGAGATTTTTTCACCTTGTAAAAAAAAAATTAACAGATCTAACAGGATTGTTATTGGTTTGGTGGAAATTTTTACGAAAAGGCTAAAAGATTAAAATAAATGATATGTAAGAAGTTTTTCTAAATTTGGAATAATTTAGTTTCATATGATCAGAAAGTTTTTGGCAGAAATGAATTAGACCTAATTGATTTTAACACATGATGTCTTGCAAAACACATTATGTAGTTTTGTTTGTAAAAATGTAAAATACCCTGAAAAAAACATATTATATACAGGAAAGGTATACAACAACATATATCATTAGTTAGAGGATCGAATGGGTAAAACTTTTGTGTCAAATATCAAGATTTTCCGTGTTCCAGGGATTTTAACGAATTTTCACGAAATTTTTACTTAGCCAAGTTTTTTTGATTATTACGTCCATTCCGAAAAAGATAGGAACTTTAAACAAAAAGTTTCTAAAAGGCATAATAAAGGACTTCAAATAGACATGCTGTTGAAATAGACATGCAGTTAAAATAGACATGACACAGAATACCAAGCATTCGAACTTTAAGGAGAATCAAATTTTTCACTTGTTTTATTTATTAACCAGATAAATTCGTAAGAAATTTTTTGAAACCTAGAAATTTTTTTTATGGAATTTTGCCCAACTGCTTAAGCCTTTAATTTAAATACTCGATCATTCAAAATTTTGTTATGGTACAGAAGATATAGCATTAAAACCACTTTTATGTCAAAATTTTAAAGGCCCTATTTTTCACTATTTTTGATTTTTACTTATTTTAAACGCTGTGATTATCAACTATTATTAATTTTTGATGACAAAAGTCTTTCGAATAAACAGTTGACATTTTTATGAACCGTTATTTTAATAAAAAATCTGAATTTTAATGGTTTTATTGAGATGTAACAAATAATAACAAAATTGAAACGAAATTTTATAGAAACTTTTAATTTGAAAAACAAAAATCGATTTTAAAAAATTTTAAATTTTTGAAAAGAAAAACTAGAATTTTCATTTTGGAAAAACAAAAAAAAAATCTAGTAATCAAAAATGATTTTTCGAAACTTTTCTTGGTAAAAAAATTTATAGGTTTTTTATTTTTGCCAATTTTTATAAGAAATGGTACCTATATGGTTTGAAATTTTTAAATGCATTTTCCTCAGATTGGCTGCAATTTAAAAATTTTAAAAAAATATTTTCGAAATCTAGGCACCATTTGACATCTGAATTTACTGAAATTAACCAGCTGGAGCGAATTTTTAAACATTTGCCGTACAAATTTTGACATTTAGTCTAATAGAATTTTTTTTTTTCAATACGAAAATTTAATTTTTTTGAACAAAATGGAGTTTGTGAATGATATGGTATTAACATTATGAAGTTACTAAATAATTTATAAATAATTTAATGGGATGAATAAATTTTAAACAAATTTCTATAAAAACTAAACTGGCATACGTTTGATGCAACTAAAGAGGTGTTTCAGTAAAGCAATTATGTAATTTAAAATATGCGATTGAATAAAAATCAATTTAAAAGAGAAAAAACATTAATTTTTTCAGAAATAGGTGAATTTCATAAGAAAATTTGGTGTTCGTTTTGAGTAATTTGTAAAAGTTTTGGATAAGGAATTCGTATTTTTCAAAATTTACTTTATTTATTGTTAACGAAAATTATTAACGTCTGGTTTGATTTTAATTGAATTTGTGGCTTTTGTGCTATATCTTCTGTACAATTTTTTAATGTTTGAGGACTTAAATTAAAACTTAAGCTGCTGGGCAAAATTCTATAATAAAATTTTCAAGGTTTTAAAATATTTCTCACGAAAAATTGAAAAAATAAAACAAGGAAAAATTTGATTTTGTCTAAAGTTCGAATGATTTGTATTCCGAAGAAACATAAAATACAGAATCAAGCAAGATGTTTATTTTAAGCTCTTTATTAGACCCTTCAGAAACTGTTTGTTTGAAGTCCCCATTTTTGTCAGAACGGAAGTTATAATCAAAAAAAACTTGGATAAGTAAAAATTTCGTGAAAATTCGTTAAAATCCCTGGAACTCGGAAACCCTTGAGATTTGGCAACCAGTCGGGAACAAAAGTTTAACCCATTTTCGATCCTCTTACCAATGATATATGTTGTTGTATAACTTTCTGAATCACCCTGTATATATTTAAACAAAAAAAGTTGATATATTTGAACAAGAAAAGCCATAGGGAGCTGAAGTATTTCTTATACAATATGTATTATAATTGCACCATTATTACATGATTACAAGGTGAGTATTACATTGACATTGTAAGCTGTACAAAATACGTAAAAAAAAAACTGTTTTATTTAGCAACAGTGTGGATTATGTGGTATTATTGAGAGATTTTTCGTGATTTATTAGCGTATAAATAAATAATTTTCATTTTTCAGAAAAAAAATCCTTTAAAATTTTTATTTTCAATCAAACACTCTACTTTAAAAAAATGATGCGATAGTTATATATACCGTATGGTTATATGTTGCGGATGTTTTATGTTTTTACATATTCTTTTACTTTAAGTAAAAGTACGTTACATGAAAGGTTTAACATAGAGTGTGTTTTCATATTGAAATGAAAAATAATTTAATATGTGAATGTAATACACTTCATGTTATTTGTGGGTGCGTGACGATTCTGCTATATACTATCGCAATATACTTGCTTAATACGTAGTATTTCTTGTAATTATAATTTGATATTATCAAATTAAAATTTCCAATTATTTACTTGAATTTACTAAGAATTCGACACTCCGTAGATAATTTAATTATTTTAATACTTTTTAGGACTTCAAGTATTGAAAGATGTTTTTTTCCACAAACATTTATTATTGAGTTGTTTTAAGCTAGCGGGTTTAGATACACGAAGACCAAAAATGCAATCACTACTCGGATCACTTCTTATACCCGACTTTAAAGGTACTCGTATAATAAGTTACTTAAAAGTCTTTGTTAAGTTATTTACCAAAGAGATTTTATCATAGGGAATAGTTTTGGATATGCAAGATATTATTATTATTACTACTCGTACTACTATTAATTTTAAAATAATTAAAAAATTCTATCACTTAATTATTTTTGCTTGAAATTTACAAATTTTTACTTACCTCTTTCTCACAATAGCTATTATTGTCATAAATTGGTATCCATTTGTGTGTCGAACAGATCTGAAAACAAATTAATAGAGAGAACAAACAATTAATAGAGCGTTGTAACAAAATTTGTATGCTCTTCGTAAATTAGCGTGTGGCTAACTTTCGTAAATTATTGTATGGCTTTGTAATTTTGATTTAAAATTATAATTTAATGTGAACTTTTTAGCTATAATTTTTTATGTTTCATGTTGTATATGAGCTTTTCTTCATATGTAATATGTTATACAACAGAGGCTTCGGGCATGTAGAGGTGATTTTGGAAGGTTAAAGAAAGTTAGATTGAAAAAAATTCCGTTTGACAAAATATTCGTAACAGAAGCTGTTGCAACTAGAGCAATGTATTGTTCGCACCTAGTTATTTTAGTTGATACTCGTACGTACACCTACATAATGGTATATAATATCAATGGTGCACATTAGACTTGTGGTTTTTAAGAAGTAGTTGCTTAACAATAAAATTTTGGGTTAAAAAACTGATTTCTTTTTTAAAAATGAAATTATTTCAAAAACATGGCATTTTTTGATGCGGAATATAATCCTGTACATTTTAGTTATATATGACTTTCATATCCCACGCATCGATTGTCAGGTATATTTTCGATAAATGGACGATTTCTCTGAAATTTTTGCTTTTATAAAAGTTCGATTGAGCTTATACTATAAGAGAAATGGGAATCGAAAATTGAAATTTTGTAAAATTTTAATAATAATAGGTCATGAGGTAGTGAAGTTCCAAAAAAATTCATTCTTTAAGTTTTTGGTACATAAATAATACTAAAATATTTTATGGTTATTTAAATGATCACTATCAAATGAATCTTTAGAAAAAAAATTATTAAATCAAACGTTACTTTAACTCCTTCAATTTACTGCGGTTAATATCATAATTTACCTTATTATGTGTTCAGCATCTAAATGTTTAGGTGAACGTGCATCTACAATTAACAAATGATACGTTTCATTTGAGTTATTATTTTGTAATGTTTCTAATGTAGATTCTTTGGTTTTGACTACATTAACTTCTAATAATTGCCTATGACATGCAGCTGTAAATGCTTCACAAACATTGTCAATTTTGTGCCAGATGAGTAAGGCCTGAAAATAGTATAACGTTTAATATGGATTAAAACAGTTAAAAATATTTAAATATGTATGACTGCATTGGCAAATTTAATTTCAAATATACTTAAAAACTAATTGTTCTCCTCAGAATTATAAGTTTTTTAAACATGAACTTATATTTTTAGTAATTATATATACAGTCATAGCCACAATTATTTTCACAAGGCAAAATTTTTGTGAAATTAAAGTTCAAATTCACATAATTTCTACAATTATTAATATTTTAAGTCCATATTTATATTTTAAATTCATTAATGGTTTACATATCAATACATAAAAACAAAAAGCAAAACAAAAAAACACAACAAAAAATAAAAACAAAAATCTAATAGCCAAAATTATTTTCACATATCGCCAATGGCGCCACAATTATTTTCAGAGCTCTTCAAATAACTGTTACTGATTTGTTGTTGTAAATTTGAACACAATTCATCATAATAAATGAAAAAATATTAATTTGCAATCATTAGAGCTAAAGTTGCGTTCCAGTGAAGTGCATATAAATTTTCAAAATGCCTAAAAAAGCAGAATTAAAAATCGAAACGCGTGCTACAATAATTGCTGAGTTTAATTGCGGTGTTTCAGTTTCAGAAATAGCTAAAAAATATAATTGTGATCGGCGAACGGTTTATTACCTTGTAGACAAATATAAAAATCATCATAATTGTGAGAACCTACCAGGGAGAGGGAGAAAAAGAGTGACAAATAAAAAAGATGACACACTTATATGTCGGTCTTTTAAAATATATCCACGCCAAACTTTTAAATCAGCGTTGTCTAACTTCAACGACAACCGGGAAAATAAAGTAAGTATGACAACAGTTCGCAGGAGACTTAAGGAGAACGGATTTAAATCTTACGTCATTCGCAAGCAACCCTATATTACTCCTAAAAATCGGGAGGCTAGATTGCAATTTGCTTTAGAATATAAAGATAAGTCTTTAGAGTATTGGAAGCAAATATTATGGACCGATGAGACTACGATTTCATTAGACGGCACCTATGGGCGACATTATTATCATTCTGAGACAATACATAAAAAAAACTAGAGCAGTTACTGCCCCTACACGTCATTCTAATGGAGGAAAAATTATGATATGGGGATGTGTTTCATATTATGGTAAAGGACCCATTGTTTTATGCCCCAATAAAATGACTGCATCTAGTTATTTAGAAATTTTGAATAATGTTGCAATTGTTGCTGGCGATGTACTTATTGGTACTAATTTTATTTTGCAACAAGACAATGCGCCTATTCATACTGCCCACATGATTAAACAATTTTTGTCAGATATTGAACAAAATACTCTTAAATGGCCCCCGCAGAGTCCTGATTTAAATATAATTGAAAACATGTGGCACAACCTTAAATCACTGATTCCTGCTAGAATTGGGAAATGTCAGGACGAGGCTTGGCAGGACACTTTAAATGCTTGGGAATCGATTTCTTCTGAAATGGAGCGAGTACTTATAGAATCAATGCCGAGAAGACTCCAGGCGGTCATTGATGCTAAGGGAGGAAACACCAAATATTAGGTTAAAGTCTGATTATTCTTTTTTCAAAATAAAAAAAAAAAATAAAAATTTATTTCTAGGTTTTCAATCCTTTTGAAGCTTTGTGAAAATAATTTTGGCTATTAGACTTTTGTTTTTATTTTTTGTTGTGTTTTTTTGTTTTGCTTTTTGTTTTTATGTATTGATATGTAAACCATTAATGAATTTAAAAAGTAAATATGGACTTAAAATATTAATAATTGTAGAAGTTATATGAATTTACACTTTTATTTTACAAAAATTTTGCCTTGTGAAAATAATTGTGGCTATGACTGTATATATGTATGCATGTAATGTCTAATTTATTAATAAACATATTGAGTCTTTCAGGATTTAAGTCGGATTTTGTACTTAATTTAATTTTAAATACAAGTTTTAATATCCCAGTACTATGTTTTTCTTAAACTGAATCAAACAGCCTTCAAAGGCACAAAATTTCTTTATCTATACAGATCAATACCATTCTTGGAATTATTATCAGTTCCTATTTAATTGGATCTTGAGTTTTTCATTGCTTTGTATTTCTATTTTTAACAAAATTTTGTTTACGTTGGTTTTTTTATTTAATCTTTCATTTATATATTCTTCTGCGTCTATCATTTATCGCAGTTTCTTTAAATCCTAATCTATAAATTATATTTTGACAGTTCCTTAATTACATAGTAATGTTATTATTCTCTATTAAATATTAAATTAGTACTACAAATAATATGAATGGTTATTTACCTTCAATGGATAGAATTCGTATGACAGAGCACTCAAAAATTTAAATATTTCTATATATTTTCAATTTTATGAAGGAAAATGAATTTAATGTTCATAGAGATTAGTCTTTTTAATGCCGTCAAGTGAATATCTTAGAAATTGAAATACAAAAATATTATGAAAGTACATTGCACATATTTTGATGACAATTTAATAATAGAAAATAAGGGAATCTATCAAAGTGTTTGCTTAAATTTGGCACATTAGAGGCGATTATTCTTTAACTTTTAAAACGTTCCAGCATAAATATTTTTATTTGATGATATTGTACAAAAATGTATAATTTTCTAATTTCTGTTTAAATCTGCAAAGGTTAGGGACTTTTGGGAAGCTCTTGGATTCTAAGCCTTTTTTTTTAAAGTAGTTGTGATTTTTGTATAGAGTGAACTAAAACAAAACTAATTTTATATTGCGTGAGCGATTTTTAAATATATCAGAACAAAATAGAACTTGTTCGGACATAAGTTTAATCTGGAAATCTTTTCTGACATGTAAAGTCTACAAGCAATGATTTCCTAAATTTCATGTAAATGCCCAATATATTTTTATAGTCTATCTAAAATAACGCTATGTTGTTATGTATTATATAACTTCAGTAAGTGCCTCGATATATAATATAATTAGTTAAATTCTCTAGAAATTAAAAATTTATAACCAATTAAATTTTAATTGATTCATTTAAAAAAAACTTTTACGGAAATTTTTAAAACCCTTTTTTTCCTTAAAAAAAAATTTAAAAAAAAAATTTTCATTTTCCATTTAAGTTATAATGTATAACACTACTCGGTATTGATCATAAAAAATGTATTTATGTACACATGAATGAATAAATTTATTCGAATATCCTGAAAACTAAATTTATTTGAGTATTCTGTAAATTTAACTTACCTTTAATTGAGGATTCGGTGGTAGTACTGTAGGATATTTTAAATCCATCAGGGTCCGCTGAAAATGTTAAAATAATGTGAAAACAAAGAATTAATTTAAAATTCTTTTTAATGTACATAAATGTTATTTGATTTAAAATTATAAAATAAATGAATTTAATTCGCTTTTGTTGTTATTTCCAACAGGCAACATCAAAGTGAATCAAGAAGGAAACCAAGGAGAAAATAAAATAAAATGTTATATTTTATCCATTTCTAAATTTTCCGCTAAATACTCGTACAAGATTTTCCGCTAATTTTCAAAAAACCATCACATATTGGTAACGAAATTTGTTTTTGCGAATTGTTTCAATGTCTTATAATATGTACGATGATTTAAAAAAATTCAGATTTCACATAAATATGCGTTCATGCACGTACTGGAAAATGTACTTTTATTTTATTTAACCGAAATATAATGTACTTGTATACATAAAGAGTTAAAAGCAATAGATAGACCAAGTTAAAGTCCGAAATGGAAATACTGAAGAAATTCTGATGTACAAAATAACAAAAATTGGGTTTAAAGTTTGAAATGTTTAAGTTACATATTTAAGTTGGATGTAAAGTTTGTAAAGTTATGGTAGATTTATAGCATGTAGATTTAGAATTTGGCTCTACATGTACTATGAATAATTGACATCATTTTACTTGAAAATGATTTTGGTGGTGCGGCACAAATTTAAAAACTGATGGAAAGTTATTCATTTATTTTTTTTTTCTCTTTACACATAATGCACAATATAAAATTTCAAAAATTTTTTAGCATTATTTCATAACATTAACTTCTTCATTATTATTAATACTTGCATTAAACCAGTGGGTAAAGCAGTGCATAAAGCAGCATATTTACAAATAAGTGGATAAAGCAGCATATTTTTTCCAAACAAATTGAAGTGGTTTAAGAAAACTGTGTTTTATTTACATTATCTTCTTTACATTATCATACTTGAAAGAAAACTCAAGACTGGTTTAAAATAACGGTTAATTTCAACGCAAATTTTGTCTGAATAAGATTACTCTATCTCATTTCATCGTATACATTTGTGAAATAAGTCGCGTTTTTTTTTGTGTAAAATTCGAAATTTGGCTGATTTTTCAATGTTAAAATATTAAAAAATACATTTTTAAAACTTTTAGGGGCTATAATTTTTCAGGGCAGTGAACAAAACAAAAATTTCCCTCTAGAAAATCTCTTGCTAGTTTTATAATTAAAATAAAATAACAAATTTGAATCGTATACGGATTCTTCAAACAAAAAAGTCGAATGAAAGAAAGTTGAAACTAAAAAGCGGGTTTTTTTTCAATTTTGTTAAATGTGAAAAAAAAGAAAGCCTATTATGAATGTCGATATTTCTTCTAATATTAAATTTAATTTTTTGACATACTAGAATAAAAAGAAAGCGGGGCTTGTTTGAATCGATTCATTGATTGATTACAATTTTAAACAAGAGGACGGCGAATGTAATATAGTTTCAAAATATTAAAACTGTATTGCCTCATAAAAGTTTAATCTTTAACGTGCTATAGCGTTTACTCATACTTTCACACAAACTTTGAAGTATGCGATGTAAATAATACAACAAGTCGGTGTATTCAAATTTTAACATTTCCAATTGTTTTTGTTTTATCTGATTTTAAAAACAATGTACATTTTAAGTAGATTCGATTAGGGCAGTATCATAATAAAAAAGTAGTTATTCCCGATTAATTTTATCAATAATTTTCATGTTGTAAAAACTAACTTGTATAAGAGTCATAGGACCAATGTGTCATATATAAGAGAGAAATAAAAATAACATTAAGTAAATAAAACTGTTATCGCTTTTTATGTGATTAAATATGTTAATGCCTTTGTATTTATTATATGTTAGAAAATATTGCTACGTAGACGTAGATTAAAAAAAAATATATACTTATATTGTAAATATTTACAGTCATAATATTTCACATACACAAATTCTACGTGCTCTTGTAGTATTGTAAAATGTACATTTTATATACAGGGTGTTTCGTATAAGGTGGCAAATATCTTTCAGGGATGATTCTTTGATCAATTTCAAGCAAAAAATTGTATGGATAAGGAAGGGAGGCTGGTATGCTAGTTTTCGAACTACAGGCTGTTGAAAAAAAAGGTACCGGACTTTTCCTGCATATAAATAAATGCTCATAACTTGGGAACCATGCAATATAGAGTTATCATTCAAGATACATCTCGTCAAAATAAGAATTTTTTTTTTGCAAAACTCTCTAATTTTTTTTTTTTTTTTTGGTACGTAAGTAAACCGTGTTAAGTGTGCTCAAAAACATACGAAAAATGCATATTTCATACATTTCATAAAAATTTCAAATTATACATAGAGAACTAAAAAAATATTTGTGAATATTGTTTGTATAAAAACTGACGCTACATGAAAACTGAACTGCAAATTTTTGGTGGAAATTGATCAAATAATCATCCCGGAAATTATTTCCCATTTTATGCGAAACACCCTGCCTATATTATGATTATATTCATGATTATAGTCTAGAACAGCAATTTCATTGCTAATTTAATTTTGAGAGAAAAAATTGAGATTTTATGTAAAATATGAAAGTTATTTATTATATGGACCGAGCAAAACTTTGCCGTTTCAAACGTTCAAAAATATTAATATACATTTATGTTTTATACAAATATTAAAAAATGTAGACCACTGATTGATTTTAAAATTCTCTCTAACGATTTTTGTTTAAAACTTTTATTTTGCCCAAAGTTTCAGAGATCTAAATAAATGCCATTGTGTTCAAGACTGGAACAAAGAATTTGGCAAAAGAGCCCATAACTCCAATAAAATTTGATAAAGTTAGTGAAAGTTTTTATAAATCTGTCATACAACTTCAAATATGCTCAAGAAACTAAGTAGGAGAGGAAGCATCATTCCCAGTAATATTAAAATCGTGAAGAGATAATTTAATTGAAATTTATGAAGCACCAATATTAAATCTGATTGCAATTTTTTTTAATAGTAAAGTATACTTTTGCATAAAAAAACGGTTGCTGTATCGTTGGCGAACTTATAAATGTTCGCTGATGTTTAAAAAAATGAATCACGTAATAAAATGAAAAATATATTTAAAAACTGAGGTTGAGTTGGGAAAGAAAAAATTACTCTGACTTAGGAAACAATTAGGTTGGTAATTCGGAAGGGAAGAAATACAAAGGAATTGCACTCGAATTTCTTAATTGAAATTTGTTAATTTTTTAAAAAAAATTGATTACAAGTCTCATCCTGCTTAGTATGTATCCGATATATTACAAAACTTTAACATTCTTGTAAAACTTCTGGAATTAATTCAAAATTGTAACGGAAAAATAACTTAAGTTAGTATTGAAATTCTCTTTTTTTGTCTCGAATAGTGGAGTTAAGCAATTTTTTTTGTGTAATCTTATAGCAAAGCTCTCAACGTTTTAGTATTAATCTTTTTTGTTACAAAAAATATAATTGGAGTCGTAATTCTTGTAAGTTCTTCAAATGTTTCAATTATCCCATCACTTTGAAGGGAAGTCCAGGATTTGTGATTTATTCGCGAACGATATTTGAAAAATTAATTGCAATTGAGTTCGTTGCAGAAAATGATTATTGATTAAATTAAAAAGAAAGCTCATACATGCTATACTATTTTCAGATTGGGAAGCTGAAATGAACAATAGATTTAAATAAAGTTGGGTCAAACCAATGATTTGTATTGTAGCGACAAACATAACAAGGGAAAATACTACCACACTATTGAAATTATTTTTATTCATAAACGAAACTATTTCTAGGATTGCATATATTTCGGACGAACGATTTATGCAGTTTGAAATAAACTGCAATAAATCGTTTTACTGCAATAAATTGTTAAAAAATGGCATTTTTAGGGTTTTGTGGGGGGGGGGGGGGCGGTATAACTTCTAGAGGGGGAGGAGATAGGTAAAAATTTCTTCTACAGAAATAAGTTTCTAGTAAAGATCTATGTACACATAAAATTTGTGACGCTCTTAAAAGTAGCGTTTTCTCTTGCTGAGGGAAAAGTGGCATTTTACAAACGTTTATTTTGACCCAACTGTATTTATATTTCAGTTCTCCGACTTTTACATTACAAAAAATTTATGACACGGTTGATACACATGGTTGTATGTATCCTTTTCCACGTTTTTAAGAAATTATTATCCGAAACTTGTTGAAATATTATTGAAATTAAAAAGGAAATATCAAAATTGGAATATTTGAATATTCTGGCCATTAAACGAACATAGCTGGTAAACTAACAAATTGAAATTATTTGTTTTTTAAGTTTAATTATATCATTAGTGCATTATTCTCACGCACAGTAATCGAAGATTAATAGTTATCTCAAATCTGCTTTTCGCAAATTTTTAAGAAATGTTCTTCTTCACGTCAATTTGGATAAAGTTCACATTCCAAAAGTTTGTATATAACAATGTAAATTTTATTTTTGGTATACATAAATATAAGTTTTTTGAAAATGGTTTCTTTTAAATTAATAATAATAAGTGTCTGCAATTTTATATGATGACAATATTGAGAAATGATATTAATTTGTTTTATTGTTTTAGTTTAATGTTATACTTATGTAAATATATTTTTAGGGGGAATTGTACTACTTAAATAAAGTTGGGTCAAACCAATGGTTTGTATTGTAGCACTTTTCCCTTCAGCAAGTGAAAATTCTGCTTTTAAATACAGTCTATGTATACCTATCACACTATTATTATTTTCATTCATATACATATTTATATAGCTATTTCTAGGATTGCATATATTTAGGATGATGCATACATGCAGTCTTTGAAATAAAGTAAAAATTAATATAAAGAGGGGTTAACATAATGCTCGATTTTAGAGTTAATTGTGTGAGTTAAGAAAAATAATTATATTTTGTAATGTCATGGAATTTATCGTTAGCTTTTTGTGTTTGTGGAAATTTGAAAAAGCTTGCGGTTTCGGAAATATAAGGTATCAAAAATTCAAA